AATTTGAAAGTTAGTGTATGACTTAATTATTGTTAATGTGTTGTAGGATGATTTAGTTGAGCAGACCAGCCAAGGATCATTTATTCCTCATGGTCGACAAGATATATTGGCGACAGCCATAGGAAAACCAGATTACTCAGGACGTGTGCGTGGTGCTGGTGGAACCTGGGGCCTTCGTGATTACTTTGGTCCAACATCACGAAGGACCACTGCTGACTCTTGCAGCCAGGAGGCCTTGCATAAAATGGAGATGCAGTTTGAAGAAAAGTTAAATCAAATAAGGCAGTCCTTGCAGCAAGAGTTTGATGAGAAAATTGAATCTCTCGCCCGCTCTCAGCAACAGACTCAAGGAACACCTCAAACAATTGAACATGATATTGTTCGAGTCAGCACTAAAGGGAGTTGTGCTGCTACTACTGTTGATCCTTCAGGAGAATATACTCAGACTGATGCATCACACCAGTGTGAGTTATATGTTGAAGATGACCCCCCGCGTCTAGTGGCTGTTGGTCGAGTTTTTGAGGGTGGCTTAACCATCCATGGTGTCCCTCTACAGCCAGACTGGACACGAGTAGTAGTTGATGAAGTTCATGATGCTAATGCTCCAGTGCCTTTTCCTAATGAAGAGATTCAATTAGTGGGGCAGGCAAGCGGGACATTCTTGGCTTGGCCAAGACGTTTGGTTATGCCACTATCAGCACAGACCAAGGTAATATATATATATATATATATATATATATATATATATACATATTGTCTATTTACTCTTTTCTAGTATTATAATTATATAAATGTTTAATTAATTGTTATCATTTGTTTAGGAGGACTTGCGTCGTGCAAAGCATAAAAAACAACCTATTATTGATGAGGATCTGACAGAATGTGATGATGATCTCATCTCTATGTTGTTAGTCGTATTACCACGGTTGAGGAAGAGACCGTGTCGGATACAATGGGATGTTAGAGTGTTTGGAATTGACAATTCCAGTGTTCCATTGTACATTTCCTTGCCCGATGCTTTAGAAATTGCTTGGGGAAATTGCATGTTAAACATTTCCATCATACAATTGTGGGCAATGTAAGTCATTTTCATTTATGTTTCTAAGATTATAATAATTATATTCAACTTATAATTAATTGTTTTAGGTACCTTGACAATTTGAGTGTGGAACAAGAAAAATCCGAAGTGTACGGATTTATTGAGCCTCAATTCATCCAAAAATCTGGAAATACAAAGGTTGGAATCCAACAATATATGCAAACATGGATGAGTGACTCAAGAAGACATATATATTTGGCTCCATACATTGAAGGGTTAGTATTTTAATTTGTATTTTAATTTATATTTTTGTAACTAATTTTTATGTCATACAATGTAGGTCCCATTGGCAGTTAATTGTAATCATCCCCCGGGATTACACTGTGGTGTGGTTTTGTTCATTACATCGGAAACCGAGTCAAGAAATGAAAAGCTTATTATAAGGGTAACTTTATCTTTTATTCATTAATTATGTTTTTAAATTGTGAATACATATTGAATAATATATGACTTTTTTTCACTTAGAATCGTGTCTGGAACTAATGTTCTAAGTGGAAAACCTAGAACAAAGACTTTGCAGTTCATTTATCCTAAGGTTAGAAACTTATTTATATAAGTGAATACCATAATTATTGTTTGTATTTCAATTTTGAAAATAATATTATGTTTTTTTCATCATTTCAGTGTAATAAGCAAACTGACTCGTTTGAATGTGGTTATTATGTAATGTATTGGATGAGAGCCATAGTTTGTGCGGGTTTAATTGATTCTTGGACGGAGGTAATTACTTTTAACATTAGTTAAGTTTATTTAACTTTATTCATGTTGCATGCTTACAAGAGTCAAATTCATGTTTCAGGTATTTCAAGATCCATCTCCATTACGAGAATTTGAGATTACAGAAATTAGAGAACAATGGGCAAAATTTTTTGTTCAACAATTCTAGTACATTATTTTTTAAGTTCTTGTTCATATTATATTGTGTGTATTATGTAGTTTAGTTTAGTTTGTATAGGTAGCTTAGTTTGTATAAGTAGCTTAGTTTGTATAGGTAGCTTAGTTTGTATAGGTAGCTTAGTTTGTAATAGATTTTTTAGTTTGTATGTTTGTATTATATTGTTTTATTATGTAGTTTGAATTATATAATATTATATTTTTAATTTACTAGCTAAAGAAAATTGAACCTCTGGACTGTCTGGATTACTATTTGCAGGTTTTAGTTGTAAAACAGAATAAATAAACCGAATTTTAAAAAAAACGAGTAAATTTACGTCGCATATTGGTATATGCGACGTAAATTTACGTCGCGTATACCATATACGACGCAAATTTTCTGTTTTTTTTTAAATTGAAAAGGTTTTTACGTCTGTTTATTGTAAATCTACGTCGGATCTTGATAACTGACGTAAATCTACGTCGGGCAAAAGGGTCCGACGTAAATTTACGTCTCCCGCTTTAACGTCGGACTTAAATATGACGTAAAAAGCCCTAAATACCTGACATAAAAGCCCCTTTTTGCACTAGTGAAACATTTTGAAAGGGGATTTAGAATTTCATTTGTACGTCAGAGTTAATAAGAATCTCTCCCGTCGCAAGAACCACTAGATAAAAAAAAATTTCAATCTCCATTAGGATTTTATCATTCACCAAGTGAAAATCAAATTTCTACATTAGGACAAAAACGAAGGAACAAAAGATGGCGTGGACAACAACAAAAATTGACTAGGAATCATTTTTCTGAGAGACAATGACAAAAATATGTCATGAGAGATGAGGAAAAAGAAAATGTTAGAAAAAAAGGACAAGGTTTAAAATAATACCATTTTTTTATTATCAAACAAGTATTCCCATCTTTTTAAAATATATTATTAAACAATTATTCTCATCATTTAAAATATATAAAGTTAAAAATTTGGTTACACCCAATATGTTTTTTTTTTAATATATTTTCATTTCCTCAAAAGTAAGTAAAAATTTCAATTTCCTAAACTTTTTTTAAAGTTATTTTAAAAATACTTATCTTTAAACATAATTATTACAAAATTTATAGGTTTCCATTAATAAAAAAAATAATTGGATTAAAAGTTTTTCATTATATATTATTGATATATTTTTTGAATCAAGAAATTATATTTAAGAAATAATTTTTAAAGATTTTTAAAATCAACAAACGGAAAGAAACCATAAGAAAAGATAGAGGATAAAGAAGATAACTATATATATCCACTTCACATGTATTATAAAACACTATAGAATGAACATTATTCTTGAAAACCTATTCTAAAAGATATGCTTGTATAGAAACCTAATTTACTAAATATAAGTGTGATAAAATTTCAGATAAATAAAAGAATATGGAAGATATAATAACTTGATGTATTTAAAATCCACCAAGATGTTGAATTTATAGAAATCTAACAAGCTTATATATATAGAATTTTTTCACTAAATTTCTCTCCCAAAGGTATAAAATAAAACACTCTTGATCTTCTAGAAATTTTGTAAACAATCTATAAAACAACACAAAAGAGGATTTAAATATAAAAACTTGTTACTTTCAACTTGTCACTTTGAATCCTCAGTTGACAGTCTATTTTAGTAACACTAATGATGAAGACTGTACCTCTTACTATATAAAAAAATCAAGTATTAATAACTGATTCTTTTCAAGAATATTACATTAGTTACAAGAGAGTTAAATTCTTTTATAATTTAATATAATTAATTTTATTTTCTTCTTATTTTTATTTATTCAAATAACTCAAAAATAGAAAAGAAGTTTTTCTTTCTTTCCATTCTATTATTTTTCAACGACACTTTTTTTTTATAATCCATTTTTTCTCATTTTATGCTGCTTGATGTAATTTCTTTTCTTTCTTATGCATCTAAACATGTGGTTAATTTTCTTGAAGTTGTTTGCACACACAAAAAATCCAAATACTTTAGGGTGTGAGCTCATACTAATGAGCTGTACATTTAAGGGTTTTTTTTTTTTTAGAATAAAATATGTTATATCTAATACTTTATTTTCGTAATGTATTACTAAAGTTAATAAATACTTCATATACAACATATATCATGATTAAAAAAAAAAACAAGAAAGGTATTTCTCTCTTTTGAATTTCACAATACGAGAAAAAAAAATTGTTGGAGTTCACAATAGTAAACTTATTTATAAATGAATATTTAAAAAAAAATGTTTTTTTTAATACTAAGTTCTACCCTTGTATAATTGTATGTCTTACTTGTTTACAAATACATTAGGTAGAGTTAAAAATATTTTATATAAGTTTCTTCGGGTTTTTTTTTTGTCTAATTAAAGAAAAAAAAGAAATATCAACCTTTTAATATCGTTTTATATTTAATTTTCGCTTAATTCAAACAGCCTTAAAAACACAATACTTTTTTTTTTCTTAACTTTCTTATCCATGTTTCGCATCTTCCAACATTCAAACGCGGTATATTTATTTCAAGTTTGTTTTACTAAAGTCCAAATTTTATAAAAGAGATTACCTCAGAATATTAATTTTTCAAGAACAAATACCATCAGCAACACTAATTCGTATATGCCACGTTTAAGATTTTTAATCTTTATTATTTTTTATAAACTTTATACCCGTTTTTAAGTTAAAGATTAGGATGACTAAATCTTTTTCCTATTTCAGTTTTGCACGCAATCTAAGATTTTGCTTGTATAATTATTTGTACATAATATTTCCCTCATGTTACTCCTCTAAAGGTAGGAAGAAGACAACTTTTACCACCGAAAACAACACTGAATTGAGTCCAGTGATGTATGTGTCACATAAGGACAAATGGTATACATGAGAATGTTAATGCAGAGGCTGAATATAAGGGAGAGAGTGTAAATGCATCTTCCACGTTCAGTCTCTAAGTTCCAAGCTCTCAAAAATGGAACATGGTGGTCATGGTGGAAGCAATTAATGCAAGAAACAACAACATGGATTTGAGTAATGCACCAGATATCACCAAAATCACGCTCAACAAAATCAAGAATCGTTACTCTCACCGACGCCTGCGCCGTGGCACCACCGTAACCTACCGCGACATGACTTGTGCTGGCTATGGTTGGCTCCTCCCTGGGTGGATAGCAGAAGAACGCAGAGGCCGCAGTGGAAAGGTCTACAGGGTACGTAACTAATTCATCATCTTTTTCCTCTTTCTTTCATTCACTATTCATCACGCACACATCACAATTTTTCTTAGCAATTCAAACATGAATGACAAAGTTGTCAATTATGTGTCTTTTCTCTTTCTTCTCTGTCTCATCATTTTTTTCTCTTTTTAATTTTGTCTGTCTCTTAGTTTCTACTGTCTTCTAACACCACCAACATGGAAAATTTCATTATATTTTGTGCATGCAGTATTACTATGATCCAGAGGGGTGTTTCTATGAAAGCCAACGTAAGGTGCTAGAGACCTTGGAGGAATTGGGGATTATTGTGCTAGACACTTAGATCAAAAGGTAAAGTATATGTATATATGTAACTGATTAACTTTATGGTGCTGCTTTAAATTTTGTGTTACTGAAATTTCTTTTCTTCTTTCAACAGATCTTTGTGCTGCACTCTTAGAACTCGGAGGTACTTGCTATGCGAAGGAAGACTCGGCTACCCTTTCCAAATCTACTTATTTTTACTCAAGTTTTAAGTAATTTATCTGTAATTATGTGTGTTTATATATGTTTTATGAATTGTTCTTGAGTTTCTCAATCAAACCTTGTCTACCTGGATTTATTTTCCATTTTAGCTAACATATATATATACATATGTGCGTACACCATTTTGGATTAATTCATGGTTCTTAATCACATTTAATCGAACATCTGCATTGATTTTTCTTACAAGATCTGTCTATAAAGGTAGATCTAACATCAGAGAAGCTTTAATCTTTTTCTTTCTTAAAAGTGTAAAAATTTCATAAAAGCAGAAATTATTAAGATAAGAAGGTGAGAATATGGTAAAGAAGTTTTGTCCCTACTTACAAAATGCAGTAATTATTTTTTAATGATATTTAATACTAAACTTTTCTTCTAATGGTATATTATAATTTTTAAGATAAGAAGGTGAAATTATTCAACAATACTTATTCAATCTATTAATAATTGGCAAATGCAATAAAATTATTTAAAATACAATAATTTTTTTTGTCGTTTTTATGATTAAAATTTATTTAAAATGATAAAATTATAAGTGAAACTTGTTAAGCCATATTACTCTTAGTTTATTAATTAAATTTCTTTTCTACTTAGCTTTGTCCATCAAAACATTGTGTTATTTCAAAGTTCATTATATGAATTTCACAAAAAGTCCAATTTTTTGTAGGGAGATTAGATTAGTATAAGAGACGGAGACGGAAAATGAATTAATATTATTGATAATATATATATATATATATATATATATATATATATATATATATATATTAATAAATGAGTTATAAAGTGACTTGTCATTTATTCTTTTCGACTTTAGAAGAAATTTATTCTCGAAGTTTACGAAAGAAAACATCTATCTCTTGATTTTAATAAATTTTCCAATGATAAAAGTATTAATTATTAGAAAATATTCCAAACAAAAACATATTTTTCTACTTAAATTACATAAAAAAAAAAAACAAAGTAAGAAACAAAAATTGAAGTTTCAGGAAAACAAAGTCTTTTTATCTATTTTTTAAAATAAAAATATTGATAGAAACCAAAATTGCAGTTTCACAAAACAAACTCTTTTTGTCTGTTTTTCTTTAATAAAAATATTGATTAAATACTTATGACTAGTTCAAAATTTAAACTCTCTTTTTTTTTCAAACAAAAATGTTAATTAGGAGATTTATGGCTATGTGAAAAGTTATGTCATTAATATGTAACATTTTCTACTTATAAGTGTAATAATAATTTGATAGGCCCATTTTCGGACAATATTTTATGTAATAATCTTTTTCTTAGAAATTAATTACTTCTTAATTATTTTATATTAGATAAAAAATTTATACAAGATATTTCATTTTAATAATGAAAAAATTTATTGTATAGATAGAAAATTTTAAAAATTAATGAAGATATTTTAATTACTTAAGATAAATTTTAAATTTCACTTTAAAAAAAATAAGAATTTAAAATTATTGATTGGCTTACATGAGTATAAGTCTAGTTCAACTTAACTCAAATAAATATGATCTAGTCTATGACCTCTTAGTCTAGTTTAATTTGACATATTTTAATCTGGTTGGAATTAATACGATACATTTTGATCAAACTTAAATAATTTTGACCGAACCAGTCTTAATTTTGTTTATCTTATGTTGACCTAATTTATCTTAATATAATCTAATACATTAAATATAACATAATTCAATTTATTAGGACGCAATTGGACCCAATTATCTATAACAGGTCTTATCAAATAAAAAAACTAAAACTCAATAAATTTAATGACATATCCAATCAAATTATATAAAATAAATAAATTATTTAAAATAAATACAAAATCAAATTCAATATATTTAAATATTTTATAAATTATAAAATATCTCATTCAAACACAAATTAAAATTTATAAATTTTTATCACATATAAATTAATCTACTTTTTTGATCATTCTTGTCCTTGACAGTTTTTTCACAATATTTGTATATAATATTTTCCTTCTCTCATGTTACATAAATGCAAAGATGATATCATAATTAATTAATTTAATTTTGTTTTCATGAAACAGTAACGGAAGAGAGTTGTCATGAATGCCATTCTTATACTTGTGCGGTACACTGTCAGATGAGGACAAATGCATTTCCCAATGCACCAGCTTAAATAAGGTTGCATCAAACCATTTCCTTCCCAGCCTCTTTTCTGAATTCACTCTCTGAGCTACGCTCTCTGCACTTCTCTCAACTCAGCAATGGTCGGTGCGAGAACAAGCAGCAACACTAACTCCAGGAACCTATCCTCGGAGCAAATTGCAGCAATGACCAATGCCACCATCCAGAAAATCGAAAGCTCAAGTCCGCGGAACCGTCTTCGCGCCGGCACAACCGTGACCTATCACGACACAACTTCGATAGGTTACGGTTGGCTTCTTCCAGGTTGGGTTGCAGAAGAACGGCGAGTCCAAAGTGGAAGAGTATATAGGGTAAACCTTCTTCTCTAGCTTTTGCATACAAATATTTCTCAAAAACTCTTTTGAATCACCATGTTCATTTTGTTTCCATGTATTTTTTGACACACCCCAAATGAAATGAAAATTTTATCAGTACTACTACGATCCACATGGGTCGTTCTACGAGAGCCAACAAAAGGTGGTGGAGGCCTTGGAGCAGTTCTGGGGAGTAATTGTTCTAGACACTTAGATCTCAGAGGTAATATATGGAACTGGTTTTCTTTCAAGATTTTTGCATGCATGTGTAGATCTTGTGTTAATGGAAATTCCCTTTCTGTTTTCTGCAGATCTTTGTGTTGCAGATCTTTGTGCTGTACTTGATTTGGCAAGCCAGACGTGAACAGTTTATCTTTAAATCTTTTAGTTGTAGTTTTTTATTCTTGTTGTACTTTTCTATCTCATGGTTTTGGCTTCAATAAAATTGTCATTTACTTAATTTCTTTGGATCTTTAATTTTCTTTCAGTTTATATACTCTTCAATTTTCTTGTTTATCTGAGTTTTTTTTGTTACAAACACAACACATCGATTTGGACTGATGTTTCGACACCACGGTTAATGCTACATCTACATCTATAGACATGAAAAAAAATAAAAATACGTAAAAATAATTATTTATTTTATTATTATTAGTATGATATTTAATAAGGAACTCATTCTATTAAAAAAATATAAAAATATATCTTTTTCTCTTTAATGATGTTCCATAATTAAACATTTTTCATGATATTTGTTAAAGAACTCCTTTTTTTTATGGTATTTATAATATTTGTTAACAAATTTTTATGCCGATATTTCTTGTATAAATAAAAATATTTCTTCAATAAATGGGATTATTAATATATTAATGAAATTAGAACACTTTTTTTAAGAGGATTTTTTTATCATTTAAATGAATTATGAGTTAAGTTTTTTATTTATTTTTTCATTCTTGATGTATTTATTTGTTAGAAAAAAATAATATAAATGTAACTCATTCAAACATTAATGAAATAATAACAATAATATTTTTTTAACCTGTGTTAAAATTCAGGAATAGAAGAAGACAATATTAATTCATTATAGGCATTATATTGAGGAATAAATTTCAAAAACATCTTGGTACTCTAATAAATTACATTTAGTAACAAATTATATTGAATTAGTTTTGTTCACTCATTGAAAATTAAATTTTAATTGGACATATATTATTTGTAGATATGAATATATATATATATATATAGAGAGAGAGAGAGAGAGAGAGATAGATAGATAGACTAAGTATTTTTTGAAATTGAATAAAATTATAATTAAAAATAGAGACAATCAAAGAACCCAGGATAAAGAATCAAGCAAAAAATTTTACCAACTTAAAACGGAAGTTAACATTAATTAAAGAGAAGAAAAAAATATTAAAAGAAAAAGAAGATTTACAGTTTTGAACACCACTTTAACTGAAACTGTGTAATTTTATATGATACTTGATTGTCAACAGGTATATCAAACGTTATGATAAGATATTTTTGAATTAATATTTTAAAAAATCAAGTACGAAATGTAATACATAAATAAAAATATTTAACCTTTTATTATTAAAAATTACTTTATTTATAGAAAATTTAAGATTGAATTACATAAATTAATATAAATATTAATTTTTATTAGTTTTAATAAATTCTCTAAATTTTCTTTTATGAGTCTTTATCTAAAATTATTTATAATAACTTGTTATGTTATTTTTATAAAAAATAAAATTACAAAATAAAATTAATAAAAAATATTAATATCATTTAAATTTTTAAATAATAAATATTTACAAATAATTTTTTTATTAGAACATGTTAAAAATCAATATATACTATATACAAAATGATAAATATAATTATAAAAAAATAATTAATGTACGTAATTGAATATATATATATATATATATATATATATATAAAGAAAAATTAATTTTATTGATAATAAATAATATTTTATAGTTATAATCTTAATATATTTCAAAATATAATATTATATTTTAGTATGTTTCTTTTATATGTTTATATTTTATTAAATTTTATATATACACACACATTGAACTTATAAGAATTGAAACAGGGTATAAAATGTTTGTTTGAAAACATGATGAGAGGAATGTGGACGATACAAAACAATGGGTATATTTGTTTTGCAGTTTTGGATTGTTGGATAATACAAAAAGAGAGTTACCGAGGAAAAGAAGCTTCTTTAGATACTACATCTTATGTTCACATGCTGTTTCTTTTGGATTCTTCCCCAGATTATATATTATAAGGAAGGAAAGAAAAAATAAATAAATAATGCATGTCAAAATTTTATTATTTATTTGACACAAAGACAATAAGAAAAATTTTATATGATTATAGAAAAAAAAATCTTAACTTGGCATGAAATGGTGAGGGAAGATTTTTAATTTTAGTTTTTTCAATTTCTTAAAACATTGTTTTATGCCAAATAATAATTAATATTGAAAATGATATGCATTATGAGACTATGAATAAAGTATTTTTAGTATTAATAAATATGGTGACATTTTTCTTCATATGATAATATATAAAATTTTATAATTATTTGTTTATAATGTTTTTTTTTCTCATGTTATCAAATGTCAAGTTTATATCATAATTATTTGCGATTCTTACTTTTAAATAAAAATATACTTTCTTATACGTCATCTTAATTATTATACTCGTACTTTTATTTTTACCTTTTAGTAAATATTATTCATTTTCTTATAATTTTAATAAAGTGAAGTTCACATATTCTAATTAAACCATTTGTTTATAAGTTATTATTTAACTTTTATATTTAAAAATATTAATTTATAAATTTTGTTTCAATTTTATTTCATTTATTTAAAAAAATAATAAAGAAAAGTGTTATATACTATAAATATAAGAGATTGTGAGTATTGTTTGTTAAAAAAATAAGATATTTGAATATGTATTAAAAAAAATTGATGTAAATGATATTATTATAAATATAAAAAAATAAATGTCATCTAGTAAAATATAATGTGAATATTGATTAAGATTAAAGAAATAATGTCATAAAAAAACATAAAGATAGTGATATCTATTTTAAATGTAAATTTCATTCAATATTATTACATAAAAAAGTATGTGTTGTCTTGTAAGAGACGAAGAAAGAGAATTAAAAAGTTAATATTAAACTTATGTGTTGTCATGTAATAATAACATATTAAATATATTAAGGCAATATTAGAATAATGATACGTTCCTTAATGCCAAAATAATATTTGGCAAAAAGAAGTTATGGACTTTGAATAATGTGTGAACCATATTTATAGATAAAAACTTATTACAAATAATAAATATACGTTTAGTTATTTTTAGTAAAAAAAGAAGCAAAACTAATTTATATGAATTTGATTTTTTTTAGTTAACCCATCTAAATTACTTTATTTTTAATCATCTAAATAAAATCCTAATTTTAAAATATGAAATAACTCATAAATGTTATAAAAATTAATAAAAATGTTCTCTAAAATTAGTTAATCCCTTATGTTTAGGATATCAATAAAAAAAATATTTTTTAAGGAGAGAAAAAAGATCTAACTCATAGTTTTGGAAAACACAAACCCAAATATTAAACCAATTATATTGGGTTTAAATTGAATTTAATCAGGTTTAAAAAATAAAACCGATTTAATATATTTAATTTTAATAAATTCTAAATACCATCATAATATATTAAAATATTCAAACTATTTACCTTTTAGTTTCATATTCTTATAAATTGAAAAATAAGACAACTAGTGGAGACCCAAAAGCTGATGGGTTTATCAAAAGCCCACTTAACAGCATTTGTTCGTCGGTTACATTTTATTATGAAGATAAAATAAATATTAAAGTAAAACATTAAATTCAACTAACATTTTCATTTTAAAAAATTAACTAATAATTTAAGATCCATGATGATTAATATGTAAAGAGTAATAGAGCAATTCCACAAACTTTTTCACTAAATATACCCCTAAAGCAAGGTTTAAATGAAGATTCAAGCAACATAAGTTGAAAAGCTAGCGCACATGTTCTATCAAAACTCGGAAAAACGATCATTATCTGCAGTTACAGTCTTAAAGTTATGAGAAGAAATTGTAAAGACTATTTATTGTTCATTACTAAAAAATAATGATAATAATATATATTGAAAGATAGGAGAAGAACATATGGTATCAAAAATTCCCAGACCCAACAAATAAACGAGGCAAGGAAGAATTATGAGACACAATGGGTGGCCAGTACTTGGTGATTGTCACCGGACACCAACCAAAACTTTGACTCTGCAATTGCGATACCTCAAACATGAACAGGTAACAATAACCATAGCATTACAAAATGACTTATTGTCGATGCTAAGGCTGTGCCTATATGAACCTGTCGCTTGTTGTCGGACTTATTAGGTAGCAAAAGATGAAGGAGCAAGAAAAATAGCCGCAAGATTATGTATAATTTTCTCAGTCACTTCACAACTTCAAAGCCAAAACCTGTACATGTCAAATAGGCCTGAACATGGGGTGTCTCCATCTCTCAAGCTTCATCCTCCAGTTACTTTCACTGTTTCTCGGCTTCAGCATTATTTCCATTCCTGATTGAAGACAAGATTGCAGCCTCTTCAGATGTCCACGGCATTGCTTGTGCTCAAAGCTGTTGCCATCACCTATGTTATTGCCTTCCGAATGCATGTATCTTTCGTATGGTGACTGCCACTTGGCTTGCAAGTATGCTAAAGATCTCCATGGAGGAAGTGGCATAGAATTCTGTTTCAAAGAAGATCTTGAAGCTTCCTCCATTATTCCAAGAAATTGTTTCAGCCTGGTAAGGGATCCCACATAGACAACAGGAAGCGAATTCAGTATCCTATCATACGGTTCAACAGCTCTAGCTATTTCAAAGTGGCTTCGGAAGTCAATATCAACAATCAATCGTTCTGAGTTTCCTGAATTATTGTTAACCACAACATCGATATATTCATGATCACCTGTGCCACAAGTTTCAACAAGCTAACATCAGCTGAAATTAAAGCTTATGCAGAATCATGTGCATATTGATTGAACAAGTAGAATCGTGGATTCGTGGAACAACGGCACATACAATATAATACGGTATAATAGAGTATGCCATTTCACTGTCCTAATATTACTTAACATGGTAAAAAGCACGCAGAAATACATTAAGTTTCATATTTACTGCCTCAAGCAAAACATGGTAGCTGCTTAACGATGGATGTAACATGCATGAAGCAAAGTAGAGTTGTAGTTTGGGTGAAATAAAAAAAAATATATATATATACATATATACTACGGTATACCTCCAGGGACTTTGCCACTACCCGGCCATTTAGATGCACAAACACCAGCATCATAGCCAGAAAGTCTCATCAACTTCACCAGATAAAACCTGATACAGCTAGCATAACATGGGCCAGAATTCATTACTTGAAGGTTGGTCTCCTTCATTGACCGTATGAGGGAATGTACAACTGAATGCAAGTCACTCTCATGTTGAGCCACCGACAGCTTACAGATCTGTTTCATAGACATGAAAGAAGGTCAGGGAAGTTGTTAAAACATCTGTTGATTTTACAGGGGGAGATTTAGAGGAAGATAGAGCAGAACATTTTAGAGAATGAGATTGCATTATACGTAGAACATAGGTAGTAGGTTCTGCAAATCATCCATATGCATAGATACTTAATGTGTATAGAAGCTTGATAGGTTTTGCAGAGACTATTCCCTAAGACAATAATAGGCGATGCAACTTCCAACACACTAATACCCGTGAAAGAATAATTAGGATGAAAATAAATTGAATAAGTGGAAGTGAAAAATAAAGTAAAAGTTAAAGCTGTTTAGTTGAAGACAAATAGGAAAGATATGAAAATAGATAATAGAGAAAATGAGTAAAATTACATGAGAATTAGTAAGGTGGGTTTCACCATTTCTAAATTATTTCTTTCTTTCTCTCCCACCAAACAACCTATATTAAACAAACACACCATAAATACATTGAAACAAGAGATACCTCAACATATTATTTCAAAGTACATTAAGTGTCATCATTTTCAACTATATCTTTTTTATCCAAAGTAAATAATTGGTAAGAAAGCATTCACGTGTACAGTAAACCGTAAAAAAACAATTCTATTTCTTTGGTGTCTATATAAAAATCGAATGTGGCAATGCTCAAGTTTAAAGTGATTGAGAAAGGACTAGAAACTGCTTCCAACTCCACCACGGGAAAATAAGATATTACACATTGCAATTTCTCAATCAAAACCCAAAACTAAGATGAAAAATCAGAGATTTGAAATGCATGTCCAAACTGAAGCCATGCTTTAGGATGTGTTGTGTAAACTGGTTTACACTGTCAATGCACATTGAACGTGAGTACTTGTGTCATGTTGATTCCTGTATAACATGGTTCGACAATGGATCTAGATCCTCTCCTGTGGTCCTGCCTCTTCAGCAATAATCTCAACCATAGATTTTACATCTAAAGGTTATTAAACTATTGATTATACAAATCACTCTGAGGTTGATATGTTGCTGTAGAGACTGCAGGACTTTGAGAGGATCCACACTCTACGACAATTAGACAATAGAAACATGCTCTTATAAAGCTTTGAAAGATCCTATAAAAGTGACCTACGGCCTTCCTATACTCTCTTTTTACCTTATTTCACAAATTTTCACAGTTAAGCTCATGAATAAGATCTTATTTCATCAGAGCTTATTAAATTAGTGTTTCATTCAGCTATTTTCGTTATGCATGAAAATAAAATGCTAGATAAAGATATCAAACCCGGTAAAGAAGTAAATTCTAAAAGAAAACAACACATATGAGTAAACCATGGTTAGTTTACCAGTAAAATAATGATAGCGCCTCAGGATTTCTAACACAGATACTACAATCAAGGAGAAAAAAAAAAAAAAAGAGAGAGAGATTATTCGTAAGGAATCAATAAAAGGTTGGAATTTGCTAACACAAAAAAAGAATGAACTTATCACTTAGTATGTCTAGACTACGAAAAAATAGACCAAACACCCCAGTGACAATTGTGGATTCAAGATAGCTTTTGAAAAGGTTTTAGTAACAATTGGGGCAGACTCATGCACATACACACAGAAACTTTTCTAATGGAAATCCAAACACGCTAAAAATCTAATTTTTATTTTAAACTCTGACCCCAACACGACCAAATTCATTATATATGATCAATTAACAATTCAATACGGAAAAACGAAATATTTCTTAACAATTACCTGAATTTTGTCAGCGAGATGAGCGAAATCAGAGAGTCCAGAATCGCTATCACTGCTACACCAAGACTCAGCGCCACTACTTCCATTTTCTAAAAAGTCGCTAACCATAAGCGCCAAATCGTGCTCGCTCTCGTGGCTGAAACCGCCACCAATCTGGCCGGCGCCTCCGCTTCCGAAATCGCCAGCCCACCATTCGGCGTCGGTCATACAAACTCTGCAGTCCATCCTCCGGTGTCAGCGACGTCGTTTAGACCACCCAAGTCCAAAACGACACAGTTTCAGTCAATCACCACCGAGGCACAACAACAGAACAGAATCAAAATTCGTGATACTCTCACGATTCACGTGCCTCAAATTCGGCAACCCAATTGATCACACGGTTCAATTCGCTAAAACGGATCAAAATTTCGATTTTTTTTTTTTTTGCGTTTTATTCCGTTGTTTAGCAACGAATGTTGATTAAAAAAAATGCAAAAGTAAATGTTTTGTTCCAGTGTTTAAACTTTTGCACGAATTTTGAAGAATTGGATTGGGTAAAAAATATGAAATAAAACAAAAATGATAGAGAAGAAAAGAAATTGGCCTTTCGATCTGAAGGGAAGAAATGTCGATTGGCAAACGGAAGATAATTCCTTTGCAAATGAAAACCCAAAAGATTGGAAGGCAAGTTCGTCGGAGAAAGAAGACAATATAAAAGGCGTAGCTGATTTGGAATGACCATTTTGCCCTTCTCTGTGACTTGGAGAGGGAGGTTACCTTTTTTGTTTTTCTGCACATTACACCATTTTTTTAAAAGAGTGGTTAGTTTAACTAATTGTATTTAGTTTCTTTAACTCATTCTGAAAATATAGTATTACAAGTTCAAATAACTATTTTATATTATTAAAAAAAACTTAATTTATGTGAAATATTTTTAACATATTTTTAAAATAATTTATCACATAAAATAAAATATTTTGTATATATATATATATATATATATAAATTAAATTTACTTTTAGTCAATTATACTTTTGGTTTCTTTTGTTTAGTACTGGTTAATTTTGATCCATATAATTATATTTATTCAATCTTATTATATGCACTTAAAATGAATTATTTTAGTATGATGCTCATAAGTTTCATCAATTTGATGTGAAACTAATATAAATATTTATGCCACATTAAATTTTTACTTTTTATATATTAAATATTTAAATGATTTAATACTAAAAAAGTTATGGATACTTTAAAAATAAAAGTAAAATTATGAAGAAGAAAAAAACATTATCAACCTTCAAAAATGGGCTAGTTGGATTGTCGCGTCATTCAAATCTTCAAAATTTTATGAAAAATTTAATAGTAAAATTAAAAATAAAATTGTTCCTATTTTAAATATGTAGACTACAATGGAGTGATTAAAGTTATGGAAAACCAAAATTCTATATTTTTTAAATATATGGGTAAAAAAAATTAAACCATTAAAACTATGGAAAACCAAAATATTTTAAATGATTTAAGAGCACATAAAATATTATCTACGCAATATAACATTACTTTCATATACCTCAAATTTTATAGTTAAAATTTATTTTGTACAACGAATAAATTATTTTGTTCTCGTACATCACAAATTATCCAAAATTATTGGTTAGAATATCCTCTTGCTTTACTAAAAAGTAATCTTATTAATTTATATATATATATATATATATATATATATATATATATATATATCTATTTATAAATCATAACCATCTTTTACAAAAAGACAGTGAGTTGATTTTGAAGTTATTGTTATTGTGTGTAAAATTTTATGTCACTAACAAACTTATGTGATTGATACAATTATTGACACGATGATATGTGAGCATGAATGATAGTCTCTAGAGAACAGTTCTTAGGTAAAAAAAATATTTAATGTATTAAAAATTATTATTAGCCTTCTAACTTATTATTCTTCATTAAAATAAATAAAACTTGATCGTTTAGGTGGACGAAGTTTATTAAAGGAAAACCTACGCGTCTCAAGCACACAATTATTCATTGTCAAAGCGAAAGTCGTAATTCTTGTTCAAACCTCAAACAATCGACTTATTCAACTTTCAGTAACCAAATTACATAGAAAAAAATAAAATAAAATAAAAATAATTGTGTGTTAATTGTATAATCATGCGAAGAGAACACGTAAATGTTTTAAATATATTTAATTATAGCAGCCAAAAATGAAGTAGGTCTGCTATATCAATTCCCATGCATTATTATATTTATTTATGTTAAAGGATAATGCAAGTTCGTATTTGAGATGGAAAATAACCATTTTAAAATCCGCCAACTCATTGAAGATGAATTAGGTGTTTAAAGGTATAATTAGGATTTAATTTATTTGGGGTTATATTGATTTAATAAAATAACATTTTTATAATATAATAATTTTATTAATAATAATATTTGTTATAAAAAAATAAAAATTATAAATATAAAATATATTAAAAAAATAAAAGATAAATAATTATTAAAATAAAATAACTATTATTTAAAATTAACATAGTTAATAAAAAATAAAAAATAAAAAAATATTATATTTTTTATAACAAAAATTATATTAAAAAATTTCATCACAATTTTTTTTTATAAAAATCCAACCAATTTTATCAGTTTTATTATGATTTATTATTATTTTATTTTGATTCCATTAAAATTCAATTATTTAAAAAGAACAACAAATTAATTTTTAACCTAATTTCTGATTCAATTAGTTCAACAAGTCAATTCGATCGGATTCAATAAAATTTTTATGTTTGTATCAAATTTAATTCCTTAACAACAATCATGATTTCGATTCCCTGCGACGTTAAAAATAAAATATAAACACATACTCGTATTTAGAATACGAGTATAAATTTATAATTATAAATCCCATAAGTGTTTCTTATTTATTTTTATTTTTTTAACTTTTTTAATTAAAAAATCTCAATTTTTTTAATAAATAATATTAATTTTAGTTTTATTTAAAAATATTATTATTTTATAAAATGAGTTATTTATATGTTAAACAGGTCTAAATTCATATAAATCATGATCTAAATAAGTTTTATTTTATTTAAATTATAATTTTTTTAATATTATATATTTTTTTAGAGTTTTAAATTGATGGAGTTAAGTGTATTTTATCATGTTTAAATAAAATATAAATAATTATTTTATAATAATCAAGATTTTAAAAATGAAATTGAATAAAGTAATAGAAATTATGAGAAAAGAAAATGAAAAAAAGAAGTAGAAGGATTTAAAATTTTACGTGACAAATGAACAATAACTGAATTATTTATTAGGTGAGAAAAGGAAACGACGAGACACGGGAAGTGAGATATAGAATGCGAATAAAGTTTATAGTTGGAATTTAGTGAAGACAAGAGTACTAAGCCAGACTAGATAATTCTGAATTGTAATAACCATTTAAAGATATGGTATTAAAAAAGTTGAACAAAAATAAAACATTATGAAATGATTTAAACCAAGACATATGCAGTGGCCATAAAGACAGCACATGTGTTTAGGCACCACGGTTTCATTGCTTATCATTTATTGGTGATGAAGAAAAGGGTACCCTTCAGGATGGGGACACAGGGCATCTTCTTGGTATGAATCCTCACTGGCTCTCCCACCAAGTATGTAAAATTGGAGTATGCATTTATAAGCATGACAGATCCTCGTGGAAACAAGAAAGGACACTTGGCAGAGAATAGAAGAAGGTTAAGGAGTAGGACCACTTCCAAGATTCCAACTTTTGCCTTCACTACACCTAATAAACCAACGTCACAACATTGTCTTGGCCCTCCACAATATTCTTACTCCAATCAAAATTATAGAGGATATACCTTACTTCATCATACACCACCTCATCTTCCATCAATCTATCTACCTTCTCGCTCTAAATAGAAATTCACATAAAGGTTTTAGAACTTTTCAGTTTAGAGCATAGTTCTGGTCACTCTGTGCTTGAAACAAAGGAATTTTCTTCTTAGCTATAGCCAAGGTTCATATGTATCACTATTAATCAATTATCTCTTTTCCTTTCTCTGCACAAGGACTACAAACAGAGTGCATATACATATGAAATATAGAGTGAACAACTGGGCAAACAAGTTAGGTCATGCATTTAAGATGGAACATGATAAATAAATGTACAATGTATACCTCGTCATTCTCCTATGAAACATCAAAACATGTCAATTTGTATTAACAACTGAAAGCTCTTTGTTTAATGATAAATACAAATGGATACTTCTTGAACAGTCATAAGGTGTTAGAATTAATGGATTTTAGTCTTGAAAAACATATGCTGCAAAAGGGTTTGCACAGACCACGGTATGAATGAAAAAAGTGGACGATGGAAACAATAGCAGCAGAAGTTAAAGTAGCATTAGGTAAAGAGAATATTGAAGAAAACAGAATTCAGATGCAGTACAAGGAGTTGGTCAGCTAGTAAAAGGTTAATAGAGATTTGTGTACACTTATTCTTTTATAATGTTCATAATGTCATAACATAGTCTTTCTCAAAGTCAACTTTCATGTCATTGGTTCATTCAATAACCCCAGTGCTACGTAACTTACCTTATACCATATCTGCTTTGTCAAATTAACTATAGTTTTCTCTCTCTCTTTCTATGTGTAAAATCAAGGTTTCATAATGAGCTTGTCACATGTAACTAGCAAGCACAAGATTGGTGCATCTGATAAGTACAATATGATTAACAAAATGAGAAAGTAGCTTGATTTTTTAATGCAACACAGTCTAGCAGCGGCATAAGTATGTCTTGTTAATCCAAATGTCAAACAGATGATCATAAATTATTATTTTTGAGTTAAAACTAACACACATCTACACATGCTATCATTGCTTCATGACAGCGTGCATAATTCAACAGATCAATCGCATCTAATGTTAATGGGATGATGAATATACACATTTAACATAATTTTTTTTAACAACAGTAATTAATAAAACTTGTGATGCAAGTTGTTTTTGACTATTTACAAAATGTAGAATGTGAAATGCTTCTTAAAAGAAGAGAATAGAGAAGAATATTGAAAATGTCTAATAGAGAGATTTAAGAAAGTGAGTGTCTTACTCTCTAAGTTGTGCATTACAATTTATAATGTAAGGATAGGTACAGGTTTCAACATAGAGCCTCACTTTATAATTTTTTATTTTATTTTATTTTGAATTAAGAGTGGCAAAATATTTTTATTGAAATAATAGGAGTAGAAGTAGAAAAATAGTAAAAGTTACAAACCTAGTTTGGTCACTCAATTATTTGCACACATTTGATGTGATATGGACCAGTGAAGAGCTGTCAATACAGCCTAGCCCATATGAGTTTGTGCTCAAAATTCCACAAACCAAACTACTCAAGGCCCAAAAATCTCAAAAAATCACCTGGACCGAAAATAGCCCATGGGCTGTTTTTATGATTTACTGGAAGGACCTACACCAAAAGTGCACATAGCAGATAGATCAATTCTCGTTTATTATTGCCCTATAAAAAAACCCTTTTATTTTTATTCCTTTTCAATTTTAATATAAGGAGTAAATCTTGATTCTTTTATATTGATTCAACTCAACGTTCTAAAAAACTAAGATTATAATTTGTACGAAAGGGCTACAATTTTGTAAAACTTTTTTCTTTTGTGAAACTAGAGGGCTTTTTGGCAGTTATGAAACTAAGCAAAGTCAATTAGGGCTACAAATTTGTAATTTTTATTAGTTATACTATTTAAGGCTAAACAACCGTCATTGTTGTGTACAAATATTTTCAAACTTAAATAAAAGCATGGGAATCATTATAAGTATAACCAGTTTAGCAAAAAGAGAATAACATTTTTGAAAAGAAAAATGATCCCAGGTATTTATACTAGATTTTTTTTCGTGTTTATTATTATTTTAAATCTTATTTTATTTGATTTAATTTGACATAATTTTTCTTTTTTAAAATCTAAGTGTGAGTCTAAATCTCACTTTGAATAATAGTAAAAAAATTGAAACATATAAGAAAGTATAACCCATAATCCAATAGAATAAGACTTTGTGTTAAAATTGGTGTGGTTGGACTCATTTATTTTTTTATTGATATTTTTTTTATTTCAATAAAAGAGGCAGATCGTTACTGGTATATTTTAATTTGGCCTCTACTTTGTTAAATTTTTTTTTATTTCAATAAAAAGAAGCAAATCTGTACTAGTTTATTTTAATTTGGTCCCTACTTTGTTAAATTATTTTGTAAAAGAACGAGTTTTTAAAATTTCCTAGTTTTACACAGTTCCAATCCAAAATCAATTGCTCTGCAATAACAAGTAATCAAGCTTTTCATCATGAAAGAAACACAGTCAGTCTGCCACTTTGTCCATGATAAGTTTCAACCAAAGATTCTAAATCAAACGTTGATTTCTTCCCATCAACAATAATTAGCAAATGTTTTCACCCAAGGAACTAGTCACGATTATTTTAGAACAAATTTATGCAGACTAGGAGTAGAAAGCAGGAATTTATCAGTTTGAGGGAGGCAAAGAATATCAGTTTATTACGCGAACTTTGTCTGTCATCACAAGTGCAGCTTGAGGGAGACTATTACAATATGTCATTCTATTGTACAGTTGATTATTCTGTCAAATCCCAACTCTTATGCTCTCTGCTACAACTCTATAATATAAGAATCAGTCAAGGATTTGCTCCAATCAGTGATTTCGTTATGTTCCCTGTCATATCAGAATGTAATAATGCTCCCACAAATAGCTAGGAAGACTTTTGTTCTTGGTGTATATATAGATGTGTATACATCAGTTGTATCAGTTTCATATGCATGTCTCTTAGTAAAACATGGAATTCTAATTACGAATAAAAATTATTGTTTCAGCTGCATTCTTTAGCTGAAACACAACGAGAGATTCCCTTCTGTATATTATATATCCATTCATATGAAATTGATAACATGTATAGATCGTGTTCTCAGCATTCTGTGTAACTCATTAATTTTGTCAAAGTACATATACTTCTTCTGATATGATGTAGCAAATAGTTTTGCCATGAACAGATAAATAACTATTGATTAGAATATGATTAATTTATAGGAAAACAAGTTTAACCATAGTGGACTTTTTATACGTCAATCAAAGCAAAAACATGTTATGGAAAAGTTCAGAAGAGAGGTCCTTTAGCATGCAGAAGAAGCTTCTTTTAGAAAAATGCCTCCATTTTGAAGGGTTGAGCTCTTTATGATGAATTCCTCATTACCTTTTGGCATTACTTATCAATAAAGTAATCATGCGTCTCTTTATTATGATGCAATTATGCAAGAGGGGATACGCTAAAGAGAACAAAAATGGTCAAGGACAGTGATTAAGTTGGAATATATATTTATGGTCATGCTCAGCGGCTTTGGTTGATTGTGCTATGGCTATATATAAAAGGCTGGAATATATTTGCTTACTAGCTACCAAAGCAAAGCATTAATAAAGCTTTCTTTACCTTCTCTTTTCTAATTGGCTGGTCCTCATCACTTAAATGCCCCCATCAGATAAGATTACCATTACCACATCAGATTCAACTACAGTACCCTCCTTATTGATGCTACCTGCATTACTCTTTTGTCCAAGTCATATATATGCCAGTAGCATTAAAGTCAAATTTCAATCAAAGAGGGATGTGTGTTCTACAATATTGTGTCAGATGAAAGATTATTAGGATACATAAAACTAGCTAATTGAGGTGTGAGGTGCAAGGGATCGTTATCACTTTTTGGTTTAGTTGGTCACTGCAAGTTATAGTCTTAGATCTATCTTGTTTCTTCTGGAACTGTAGATCAATCAACATTGTCAAATATAAATGATATTAACAGAGTTAATAAATGATCCAATTTAATATGTGAAAACACTGTTAATAGAGTTATTATATATCCTAATTTCTGATCTAGATTTTCCTTCACGTGGTACTGATTGAGACATGCAATTTGTATCATAAAACCTTCATATAAGGTAGATGATAGAGAAAAAGAAAAAGATATATATATATATATATATATATATATATATATATATATATATATATATATATATATATATATATATATAATTCTACAGACATGTAATAAATTAGATAGTATAATATAAAAACAAACCACTGTAGATAAAAATTCATTAATTAACATTTTGTTGTTAGAACATTTTAAGAAATTTACAATAACTTACACATCTTAATCCATCAATCAAACAAAGTATGTGTTTTTGTATAAGGAAACATACGAACCATTATTTGGTTATAGGTCCATGCTAGCCTTTATACTAATAAAAATTCTGTTTGTCTGGAAAATTGTTACAGTTACTATTATTATAAACTTACAATAGATATATTAGTAGTTCAAATCTTCATTAAAAAATAATATATAATTATATTCAATGTTATACTTTTCCGTCGAAATGAGGAATTTTGTTTGTTTGTTTTATAATAACATTAAAAATTGATTATTTCTATAATATTCTCTTTCCCGAACATGCACTATATATACTTCTTACCTACGTAACTAAGTAACCTAACTTATAAACTCTAAAAGCGCATATTCCGTAGTATTTTTATGAAAAGCATTGATGTTTACTTGAAAATAAATAACTCCTGTAATTAAATTTATTTATTATTACCTTCATTTTATTATAACCAATTACAAACTAATTTACATTATTGCAGGAGTAAAGCTTTAACTTATCCTCGTAGATATTGTATAAATAAAGTTTTTTGCTTGCAACACATTTTTAATCATTAAGGTCTTTTGCGACCCTCTCAGTTGAGTGCACTTTTAAAGGTTAATATGCGATATATGTGAAAGTAAAAATAATGTAAATGTAATCATGCCATAGAAAAAACAAAAGACATGTTAGAGAGAAGGGAGAATAAGGTAGCTGGGAAAAAAGAAAGTGAAAGAGAGAAAAGGAACCTTCTGGGATTCAACGGATAAAGTGATCCCAAAACGTAGAATAAGTCCACTTGCAAAGTATTACAACATGTTATGATAACAACTTTATCACTACAAGATTTGTATCGCAAAAAACAACTATCATTGTTGTGTACAAAACCTTACGTACGTGTAATAATCAACAATCATTTAAAATAGATAAACACAAGACTAAAAAAATAACTAAGTAACGTGGTCCTTGGTTCAGTTCTCCCTGTCAACTGACACTAATATTTACAGTGTTTTTTTCTGGGAGTGAAAACCCTAAGTGCAGATATGAAAAATAAAAATTAAGTGGTGTTGTTGAGGTGTAGCATGCAATTATCCCTACAAAAGTGAAATTAAAATCTGTCTTTTCTTTTCTTTTTTCTTAAAAGTTAAATGTTGTCTTATTCCAAAAGTAAGGTACAGTATGTATATATATATATATATTCACCAATTGAACCAATCCTTGTTTGTTATACAAGTCCCTTATAAATTGTCCTTTACCCTGACATGTTATCAATCATGTTATATACAGTCAATAATTTGTTTAAAGAAAAAGCACTTAATTACAGTGTAAGTGAATACACCACAAAGGTTTAATGAAGGAGTTAGGAGTAACAGTGGTCCTTTGCGTTATTCGATTTGTCTGTGGTAGGCAGCAAGAATCAAATTCCACTCAACACCTTTCGAAAATGATTTCTGCTATTTTAATATATACCTTCTAAAGTTTGATTGCACTCCAGCGTTTTTCAGTTTCCACGAAGTTTCAATAATTGACGCTAACTAGCTAGCATGGCAATTCAGAGTTTTGTTCCAAAGCACATTAACAAAAAGTAGAAAAAGGGAGGGTGTGACCTTCTCCATCACACTTCGAAGCACCAAGTGTAAAGAAAAAGCTGGTAGATCTACGAGAACAAGAGCCGTGTGAGATCACAAGTTGTTATATAGTCTACAATCTCCATCATATATTATTATAGTTTTATTCGTAAAGTAAAAATATCATCATGTTGTCAAGTAAAGATTGATCCAAAATCGTCGAAATTTAGTTGTATCCTGTCATCTAATAATTTCTCCTCTGTCAGATATTGCTTACATTATATATATGTTACATGATGGAGCATGCATTTACGTTGTCTTCACTGAAAAGGGACATAAATTTCTCTTCTGTCTCGGCAGAAGGTGTAAATGTTTGCAAGTTCCGAACGTAGCCGGAGGGTGCCCTTTTGTCATAGATGCCGGAGGCATGAGGATATGTCACGACATGCTGTGGAACATAGGGCCAAAATTCAGCTCTTTTCTTTCCAGTTCTCTTTACCCTATTCAACACCTTGTTTGGATCAACACAACCATTCACTGTAACCCTGCTTTGCTTTCGGTTTATCTCCACAGATTTTACTCCTGCAACACATGCACACATGTGATCTTTAGCCTTCAAGTCAACTTTGTTTTGCATAATGCACACTTCATATATGTGGTTTTCACAATCCACGGTTAACTTGTTTTCCTTTTCAATATTTGCTTTCTACAACTCACGTATCTCAAAAGCTTAAGATAATTGACTACTACAATTTTCTTTCACGAAAGCATGGATATTCACGAACCCTGAACTGAAATTCAACTTGAAGAGGATAAGAATTCAAATCTCAACCCATTACGGTTAACTTTGTAAGGAGTTTAGTAAATAGTTAGTATGATATTTTAGGTTAGTCACCATTGGTTAAAAAAAAATGAATAATCTGAATCGCTTGATCTCATGCGGATTATGATATCACAGTATAAATTAAATATCCAAAAACATAAAATATCGAATAAAGACATTTAACACATTATATATACAAGGTATCAAATATAGACATATAGATATCTAGTAATAAAACATGGATTAGAATTTAGAACCTTTCATTGTGGCAACTGCATTTCTGACTTTTCGTTCACAGCCATCACAGTCCATTTTGACTTTGATCTCAACTGTCTAAAACGAAGACCAACACATACATGAGGAATGAAAGATATATAATAACATGAGTAGCTGCTAGAGCAAGAGGAATGAAACTTGGAAGTTAAAAAGTGTGGGGTAAAGAAGAGAGTATAAAGGAAAATGGTGTTGTGGCATGTGGAAATTAAAGGAGTGCCTACCTGCATTGTTTTGGTCTTGGTGCTTGGAACTGTGCAAAAGTTGGAGATGATGTAGGTAAGTGCACCCATTTTCCTTTCCAAAAAGTAAAGGGCAAAGACGGGGAGAGTGAGTGAGTGAGAGAGAAGACAGGCACAAATCAAACATGATGAGGGCGTGGTGTTTATATAGGAAACTAAATATTCAGAGGTAGATGGTGAGAAAGTTGAACTTCCAAAGCAGTGTCTAGAACAACGAATTATTATAATAAACCAAAAAAAAAAATGTAGTGGACATAGGTGCCCATAAAGCTAGATTAGTGGTTTATAAGAACATGGAAGATATATGCTTTAAAATTGGTTTTGTGGTGCCATGTTCTATTGAAAAAAAGAAACCCTTGTTTAAGATCTACGCAGAATTATAAAAAGTGATTTTTGGGTTGTCTTCCTTTTCTGTCAATGATAAGAATGCCTTGCTTTCCAACATTCCATACATCGATTCAAACTTATACGTTGCCATTATTTTTGCCAACGTATACATCCTAAACATTATTTTTATCATATAAAAACATTTTTACTTTAAAGGCAACGTTCACATCCTAAATATTATGTATTATAATAAAATTACTTTTAAACTAAAATATTTGTTGAAAATACAGTTTCACATTATAACTAGATGATTCAATAAGAAAAGAAAAGTGAACCATATATTCTTAATCTTTTAAATTTTAGAATATTAACAATAATATTAAATTGGTTCATATATCAAATTGATATCAACTTTGGATGTTAAATAGATGCTCTTTATGGGATGTCAAAATATCAATATTTTTTAATAAAACAGGTCTAATAAGGTGTTAAAGTTTAATTTGACACAAACTTTGACGCCTATCATTTGATTTTATTCCCTCTTTATGCTATATATATATATATATATATATATATATATATATATATATATATACTTGAGTTTATTATTTATGTATTATAGATGTAAAATATTTTATATATTTATTCAATAAAAATATTGTAAAAATTAATAAAACTATTATAAATGATAGTTTTGCTGGTGTAATAGTGTGTTATTAGATTGAGAATACATAACCCATTCTCTCTCTTGGACTCTCGTTTGTTGTCTTAAAAGACACACCTTCCTTCCCGACAAGTACAACAATGTACCTTTCTAAACATAAAGGAAGCATGTTCTTTATGACACAACACTGGTATGAAAAAAAGGAAGATAAAAAATGTTTTATCTTAAAGTGAAAAGTTGGTAAAAAATAAATAAAAAAATTCAATGTCCAATACAACATATATTGAAGAAAATGATGGCATAACAATCTTACAATGTTTTTTCTTAAACCCCTTTCTAATAAGTTTTCGTAGTTTTTAGGATTTAGACTTTGAACTTCGTTTTGTACACTTCACATCTTTATAAGATGATACAATTACAATATTCTTTTTTTTTTTTAAGTGAAAAAGCTTAGAGAGACTTTACATGAAAGAATATTGTGATGAGTTGTTAAAAAACAAGTAAAGAATATTTGAGATGAATAACTTAATACCCAGTGAAAATCTCAATATATATATAGATACTGAAAAGTTGATGCAGTTTATGTTTATGACCATCTACAGTAAATATTATCTAAATATCAAAATATTTTCACCTTATGTTATACAAACTTAATTATTTGTCCTACTTTACTGAAAGTTTCAAAACATAAGTGATCTTCACTATACAATTCTAATCCCATAACAAATTAATCCTTGTAAGGCTGGACCATAAATAAGTGATATAAATTAGTTAACATGTGATAGACACATATATAATGTAATATGTACATTGTATTAAAGATTGTTATGGAGTAGACACTACAAAAAATTTTAATATTACCTACGGTCAAAATCCGTCGGTAATATTTTTATTATTATTATTAATTATTTTCCTCGGATTTGAATCCATTATCTTAGAGTTAGAGATTGATACTCCAACCACTAAGCTACTAGAATTTTTTGATAATAATTTACAAATAAATTATATTTATATATTTATATATTTTTATTTTATATATTTATATATTTATTTTTTAAAATTATTTAATTTAAGAAATTATTATAAATTAATCTAATTATGATTAAATTAAATTATTAAATAAAAAATATTTAATTTTTTAATAAGGTGAATATTTACTAATTGTTAATTTACAGACGGAAATATCCGTCGGTAATTTACTGAATGAATTTACGGATGGATATATCCGTCGGTAAATTCATCACGTAAATTACCGAACAATTTACCGATGGATATAACCGTCAGTAAATTCATCTGTAAATTATCGACGGATTTATCGATGGATATATCCGTCGGTAACTAATTATTATTTTACTGACAGATATATTCGTCGGTAAAATCAAATTCCACAAATATTTTATATCCGTCGGTAATTTCCGTCAGTAATAATTATTTTTCGACGGATTTAAATCATCGATAAATATCCATCGGAAATATGCTAGAAATTAAATTTTAAAAGTTAGTTATATTATTTTTCCTCCAATGGGAGAGGAGAATAATTGACCAACCTAAAGTGCAAAGTGGTTTTGGCTATATCTCTCAAGCCCTCAAAAATAGGGCAAAAAGAAGAAAAGCATTATTCAACCCCACCTACAGAACAGAACAAAACCACCGTTCATGGATCAAAATTCTCTTTTGACTCCAAACAGTGTTCTGCTTTTCATTTTTCTTCACTCACATTCATTCCTTCCAAGTTTTCAATTTCTATCAGTCGTTTTCTCTTTCCATACTCAAGCATTTCTTTTCTATTACTACTTTGTGCTATTGAATCGTATCATATAATATTAAAAGATAACTTAATTAAAATATATACTTTTATTCCACTATTGTAGTAGAAAGTATACACCTTTTTATTATTATTTTTTTTTTCATCTATGTATTTCCTTTTATTATTTTTTTGGCTCATCCAAGGAGTGTGATTTTTTTTCTGATATATTGCTGCATGTAAGCACATATCTTTATTATTTTGATTTTACCCTCTTACGTTTTTCATTAATTAAGTGCAAGTTTTTTACACTCTTTCTCATTTGTTTTTATATGTTCAAACTTTTTAAAATATTGTCAGGGCCTAAAATCCACAGTCTGTAAGCTGGATGGGGGTCGATTTGGGCTTGGGCCTTAATTTTATTTTGTTTCTTTTTTTTTTAATAAAAAAAATGTGTTTGAGTTTCTTTCTGGGATGTTTAATCAAAGTTAACATAAAAAGTGATTAGAAAACTTTGAATAATAGCAATTCCCATTTATTTCATTTATCTTGTTTCTCCTTTCATATTAATGTTGAATCAATTTGTGTTTATTTTATTACCATTTTATTTGTCGTTGTATTTTCATATTAATATATTGGAATGTTAAATAGTAGTATGGAAAATTAAAATAACAAATTAAACACAAGCTTCGACAAGAGAAAGAGAGTCAAGAGTGTGTGGATAAAATAAATGAATATAATAGCCAATTTATCCGAAAAAAATGAAAAATGGGTGTGGACAAAGAGGACCCGGTTAAAAAACGGGTTCTGAGCTCTGAACCATAGCTACTCTTACATTACACACACTGCACTCACCACTTTGCACGAGTACCACCATTTCAACGGTGAGGTGAGTTTTCCGGTGCTTTTCTTCTTCAACGTTAGGCTCTTATCTGTTTTATGCTCAACAATCAATTTCATCAAAACCAATTCTTCTCTCAGACCAATTCTTCTCTTAACTGTAATTTGTCAAATTTCCTTCAGAAGTAATTTTTTCCCCACATTTTGTTACATATTATTATTGTCAATTAAAGAATAAATGTTCAGTGGAACCCTAACTCTCAATCAATTGACCAAACAGGCACTGCCGCAGTCGGCTCCTACGGATCCTCTATTTTTCGTTTCCGAACCTGCAAAACGCAATTCATTGCTGGTGAGTTCTTAACACTTTGATTAGGTAGATTTCCTATCTTTGTGTGCTCGTTGTGTTCTAATATTAAAGAAACGGGTTTGGCGATGTTAATGTTTTTCTATATCCTAATGGTGTTCATTGCAACTTTTAAATTGCTATGAAATGAATTTTGTTTGTTATAGCTAATAAAAGGAAGTTGGATGGCGGACTAAAGCCGTTCCTGTGTCATAGATGATCAACGAAAAGAGAGAACCTTTCCTAGATGATGTGTGATAGGATACCTTGAAAATATTATTAAATGATGAAAAGTAGAATAGTTTTAATTTAAATTTCCAAAAAAAAAAATTCCTAAAATTATTTCAGGCCCTAAGTGAATATCGCAAATAAAACTGAATCATGATTAACATGTTTTGCTTTCCTTTAAAAAGACATTTATTATTGCTTTTCTGTTTCTTCTTTAAATATTTCACGTTAGTGTCAAATCTAACTTCTGAGAAAGTTTTAGTTTGTTCACGGTGCGTTGTGTGTATGATAAAATTGGTGCTTATCTACACATTTTGAAGATGTTACTGGGCCAAATACCATTATAAAGGTGAACACCACTTGATTTTATAGGATTAAAATTAACTGTTGTGCTTTGATTGTTACATTGTGTCATTAAGTGTGATTTCTTTTGATTCTATTTTTTTGGAAAGCATACATTTTGTCGGCATAATGTTGGGTTGGTATATGGTTTGTATTTGTCGCACCCTCTTTTCAGATCAGTTTTCAATAAAAAAGGGGTTGAGTTGTTTTGCAATTTGGACCTTTTTCTCTTAAATTCTGATATGGCCTAGTGACCATATTGTTCATCTTACTTGATTTTGGCTAAATCGACTTTTCTCTACTTAGCCTCTCTCCAGTGAGGCACTGGATTCCGGAGGATAAGAGCTTATCAAGATTAAAGATTAGAGTTCCCTCGTAGATTCTCAAGTGCTTCAAATATAGCTGGTTAAGATTCTCAACTCAGGTGCATGGCAATGGTCATATCTTCTGTTCATGCCACACTATTTGCCAGGGCCTCTTTCTTTTGCCAAAGTAATGGCCTAAGAATCTTTAGATCATGTTTACCTTTCTCATCTTCAGCTGCTTCTGTTTCCAATCACAATCTTTCACTGAAGAAGTGGAGGCAGCCAGTGTTGTCAGTGTTGGATATTGGTGGAGTCAAGATAAGCAGAGAAGGTACTTTGGGTATTTCTTTTTTCTTTTTTTTTTCGTATTTGAATGTTTATTGTACCATAAATGCTATTTGAACTGTTATCACATATTATGATCCACAGAAAACCTTTCAAACTTGGGTTATGCACTAATATTCCCATTTTTCCATAGTTTTGAATAACTTAATCCACTGACAGATGTTATATACAATCACTAATTGTGTGGTAATTTTTAAGGAGAATGTCACTGACTGTTACCTATTTGCATACTTTCTGCAGGTTAATGACATTGAAGTCATTTTATTTAATTTTCACATTTTGATATAATTGCTGTTGTAGAAATTACTGGCGTGTTTTAGGCTGTGTATAACTTTCCTTATTTATTCTTCATTTTTTTTACGTGCCTTTACATTTGTGCAGCTGCTTTATGCTAATGTTTTAGTTGAAAAATGTCCTTTGGTTTATACAATATTAAAATTCTTATGATATCTGATTTGTGGTGTTCTAGATGTGGTGAGGGATGATCCTACAAATAATGTGCCAGACAATATATTTTCAAAACTTGGGGTGCAGCTTCACAGGAGGGATCACCACCCTCTTGGGATATTGAAGAATGCAATATATGAGTATTTTGACACAAATTATTCAAATAAGTTTGACAAGTTTGATGATCTTTGTCCTATTGTTTCAGTGAAGGAGGTATGAAAAATAAATTAAAGAACTAGTTGCCCTTTGCTTCTATATGATGCATTGATAGTATTAGCTGTTACTTTGTTTTGCAGTTGTTAATACACTATTTGCCACTTCATTTAGTTCGTTCTAGATTTATGCTGATTTTGGTTTTCAGTATTTCATGCCAGTGAAGTTTTATATTTGTTACTTTATGTAATTTAAGTATTTGCAAGTTAATTATCTTCTGTAGGTAAAAAATATTTGTGGAACATCAAATTACAAATCTCTGTTTTTTTTAAGATGAATATATTTAGATTTTAAATCCTCAATAAAACCTCTAAAAAATGGAGAAACAAAGTACTTTGAAAGTAATTGATACTAATTTAGTTTTTAATTTATTTTATGAATTATGTATGTTTATCCCAGTAATATTGTATATTATTTCTGTTAGAAGTCCCACATCGTCTGTCTCATGTCATGTGGTATGGTTTAAATACCTGTTAGATTACTCTACATATTGTTAATTGGTTTTGTGTTGGAAGCTTAACAATTTCTTTGATATGAAGTCACTTATCACTTAAAGAAACAGTGTTTTTACTTTGGCCTTAGTGGATGGTCTGTTCACAGATGAGCAAGCCATCGACCTTATATTTTTTCCTTGCTTTGCAATGCTTGTTTTAAAACTTGTTGCAGTTTTTGTTTGGATTTCTGAAGCATATAACATGGTTGAAATTATATCATCAAATGAATCTTCTGTCCTTTCGTGGCACCGCATTTGATGAAATTATATCATTTTTCTGGCTTTTCTTATACATGGTGTTGCATATGACCAAATGACTTAATTCTTCAGTTGTTTTTCGTGATGCTATTTAACCAGTGTATGTTGTTTCTTTAATTCTTTCCTTTTGGAAGGTTATATAAAAACAGAGGAAAAGGGGGTTAAACAAAGAATGCTATTCAAAAGGGATGACGATAGTAACATTGTTTGTAGATGACTGGATATATGAAACAAATGTTAATGGTAGCTTTTGAGTATCATTTTACTTTATTTCTGATGCTTCTACCATATATATAGGTTGAAGTGCAAAGTTTCACAATCATATTCTGGAAAAATAGATTAACTGAAATATGATTTATTTTATTATTTCAATACAAAGAGATGATATAAGATATATACAAGAGACCTAAACTATTTTAGGAAATATAATAACTCTATTTTATGCTAGGATCCCTTGATTTATGGGATTGTTCCTAATTATTCAAATCATGACAGATTACAAGGAAATATACAAATTTCCTTATTTATTCTTTCCTAAAATACTATTTGATTTCTCACACTCCCCCTCAAGCTGGTGAATAGATGTTTTCCATTCCCAGCTTGGATACAATCTTCTCAAAATTATGGCAGCCCAGTCCCTTGGTAAGAATGTCTGCAATTTGGTCTTGAGAGGACACATATGGAGTGCATATCAAGCCACTATCAAGCTTTTCTTTGATGAAGTGTCTGTCTACTTCAATATGCTTTGTTCTATCATGTTGCACTTGGGTTGTGGGCTATACTCGATTGCTGACTTATTATCACAATAGAGCTTCATAGGTTCTTCCCACTTTATCCTCAAGTCTTCTAAGATGATTTTAAGCCATAGCAACTCACATATACCTTGTGCCATGGCTCGAATTCCGCTTCAGACCTGGACCGAGCCACTACACCTCGCTTTTGCTTCTCCAAGTCACAAGATTTCCTCCAAGAAAGGTGCAATATCCTGTAGTTGACCTCCTATCCACAATTGACCCTGCATAATCAGCATCAGTATAGGCTTCAAGTTTCACATTACCATTCTGTTAAGGTTCCAACATAAAACCAATTGGCAATATGTGGAGTAGCCTAACATGTATTTAAACCATACCAAATGATATGAGGTAGGCGATGTGGGACTTTCAACACACCCCCTCCAACGAAGCCTGCCGGACCAGGCAAAGGGTACTTTTGACCCAACTAAAGGGCAACTTTTGGCCCATGACAATAACCGGAAAGATGTTAGGCTTTGGCTCTGATACCATGTTAAGGTTCAAACATAAAACCAATTGGCAATATGTGGAGTAGCCTAACATGTATTTAAACCATACCAAATGATATGAGGTAGACGATGTGGGACTTTCAACACATTCCTTTTGAATAGAATCCCTTTTCCTGGAGTTCCTTTAAGGTACTGTAAAATTCTGTGGGCAGCTTGTAAATGGGTCTCCTTTGGGCTATGCATAAATTGGCTAATTAAACTCACTGCATAGGCAATATCTGGCCTGGTATGTGACAAATATATAAGTCTGCCCACTAATCTTTGGTACATATCTTTTTCAACAAGCAACATCTTCTTCCGCATTTCCAAGCTTTAGGTTTGGTTCTAATGGGGTACTAGCAGGTTTGCAAGTCTGCCTTGCCAGTTTCCTTGAGCAAATCGGTGATGTATTTCTGCTTGAGATATAAATATCCCTTTCTCGGAGTGGGCAACTTCAATTCCCAAAAATATTTTAGTTTTCCCAAAGTCTTGATCTCAAATTCCTTGCCTAAGCATTGACTCAATAATTGTTGCTCTTCTTTATTATCTCCGAGTTAATATTATGTCATCCACATACACCAATAATATTGTTACTCCCCCGACTTTGAATGTTTAAAAAACAAAGTATGGTCCCCTTGGCTTTGTTTGTAACCCAGCACTGTCATAACTTTAGTAAACCCGCCAAACCATGCACGGGGACTGTTTTAACCCATATAATGCCTTTTTCAACTTGCAAACAGTGTTGGTAGCAACATCTTTACCATATCCCGGAGGTATCTCCATATAGATTTCTTCTTCAAGGTCTCCATGTAGGAAAGCATTCTTAACATCAAATTGTTCCAAGTTCCAACCATAATTGGCAGCAAGGGACAATATCACCCTAACTGTGTTCATTTTGGCAACCGGAGCAAAGGTCTCCAAATAATCAACTCCATAGGTTTGGGTGAACCCTTTGGCAACTAGTCTTGCCTTATATCTCTCAATTGATCCATCGGCCTTGTATTTCACTCGTATAGACCCATTTACATCCAACTGGCCTCTTTCCTATTGGTAAGGTGACTAACTCCCAAGTGTTGTTTTTCTCCAATGCCTCCATCTCTTCATCCATGGCTTGTCTCCATTTTCCGTCGACAATGCCTCGGATAGGGTATTAGGTAGAAGTACAGTGTTTAGGTTTACTAGGAAGGTTTTATGGGTAGGAGAGAAATTTTTAAAGGACAAGTAATTTGAGAGAGGGTAGAGTGGCTGTTTGGTGCATTTTCTTGTTCCTTTTCTAATGGCAATTGGGAGGTCGGGATCATTTTGGGTTTCAATTTCAACCTCGCATGCTGGAGAAAAAATTGTTACCTCTTTTTGTGGAGTCGAGTTGGATTCTTGAACATAGCTTGATCCTGGAATGGCCTTAGTCTTCCTTGAGTACACCAAGCTTCTTACCAAATTTTCCAGTTTCAACATCTTCTTGATCGGCTTCACAATTAATTTCACTTTCTTGACCAACTTCCTTTGCTTGACCAATTCCTTGACTTGTTTCATTTGTTACAACTTCAATTTGATCTTGTTTAGGTTCAAATATCAAGTCCGGAAGAATGGGAAAACCAGAATTACTACTTTCAATATGATTTCGTTTAGGTTCAAATGTCAAGTCCGGAAGAATGGGAAAACCGGAATCACTACTTTCCTTATCTTCCCCGAAACTCTCCCCTTGAAGATAAGGTTGATGGAAATAGCCCTCTTGTTCATTGAAGGTAACATCCCTAGACACAAAGAATTTTTTGGATGGGGGGTGGTAGCATTTATACCCTTTTTGAGTGGGTGAGTAACCAACAAAGACACACTTTAAGGCTCTAGGATCAAGTTTTCCCTCGTCCGTACTATGAATATGGACATATGAGATGCACCCAAAAACTCTTGGTTTAAGATTATTTGTAGTAGACAAGTTTGGATAGAAAGACGACAAAACTTCCATAGGGCTTTTTGATCCTAAAACTCTAGAGGGTAGTCTATTGATAAGGTATGTTCGTTGTAAGGACAGACTTTCCCCGTAAATTTTTGGGACACTTTTTTGGAACAACAATGCCCGAGTTTGATTTAATAGATGTCCATTTTTCCTCTCTCGCGACCCCATTCTGTTGTGGTGTTTTGACACAAGAGGACTCATGAATTATTCCTTCTTTTTGACAAAAAGAATTAAGGACATGATTGAAGTAATCTTTGGCATTATCTGACCTAAGCCTCTTAATATTAACACCAAACTGATTTTTTATCATGGAGTGGAAGTTTAGGAAGACAGAACTGACTTCTGATTTTTGTTTAAGTAGGAAAACCCAAGTGACCCTTGTACAGTCATCTATAAAGGTGACAAACCATCGAGTACCAGACACATTTGGAATATTAGAAGGTCCCCATACATCAGTATGAACAAGATAAAAAGGGAAATTGCTAATTCTATTACTTATTGGAAAAGATATACGTTTGTGCTTAGCAAGTTCACACACCTCACAATGAAGACTCTCAACATCTAACTTGGTAAACAGAGAGGGAAATATAATTTTGATCACTCCAAAAGAGGGATGTCCCAACCGACAATGATAAAGCATGATTTTTTCTCTCGTTGGTCATCAAGGATTCGAGATATGAAGGAGTGAGAGATTCTATTCTTGTCAGGCGAGACTTGGATCTTCGAGATAATAAAGGTCATTCCATTCTCTAGCATGTCCAATCATCCTCCCCGAATCCTTATCCCGAAATACACAATGATCATTGGAAAAAACAACTTTACATGACAAATCCTTTATAAGTTTTTGTATAGACACTAGGTTCGTGGACAACTTTGGGACATGGAGAACGTCTTTTAAGGTTATTAAAGGATTGATTTGGATATTTCCTTGACCAACTGCAGCTTATAAGGGTTCCATCTACTGTGGCAATTTTCTTGTTGCTGGGACATGAGGAATATGTGGAGAAGTTTTGGCTAATGGTGTCATGTGATCTGTGGCTCCGAGTCCAATATCCAATAATGGTTAAAAGGCGTATCTCGAGACATTTAATCCAAAAGAAGGTGGAAACTTACCCGAGTATGCCAAAGAACACATACCCGTAGGTTTTTCCAGACTTACTAAGAATGGTTTTCACCCTTTCTATCTCCTCTTCCCTTGACATTATAGCAAAAGGTGCGATGCAACAACAATGCGAGTCGTCGTCTTAGGATTATGAAAAATGCAGCAGCAATGCAGGTCGTCGTCTTAGGATTAAGAAAAATGCAGCAGCAATGTAGGCTGCCGTCTTAGGGTTAAGAAAAATGCAGCAGCAATGCAGGCTGCCGTCTTAGGGTTACAAAATATGCAGCAGCAATGCAGGCTGCCGTCTTAGGGTTTATCGAGCGCAGACAGAGCTTCCTAGATCGGAAGCTCTGATACCATCTGGAAAAATAGATTAACTGAAATATGATTTATTTTATTATTTCAATACAAAGAGATGATATAAGATATATACAAGAGACCTAAACTATTTTAGGAAATATAATAACTCTATTTTATGCTAGGATCCCTTGATTTATGAGATTGTTCCTAATTATTCAAATCTGTACAGATTACAAGGAAATATACAAATTTCCTTATTTATTCTTTCCTAAAATACTATTTGATTTCTCACACATATCTATTTCTAGTATAATTTAATTATTGAAACCTTATCTAAAAATACTGCTATATCTTGTCAATGTTACTTTTTCAACACAAGTAAATGCGCCTCCTCAACGCTGACATGATACTTCTAACCATTGTTTTTTATTGCTTATCTTACTTATCGCTTCTTTTTGGTTGACAAGGTGGTTTTAACACTCTGGTTGGTTTTTTTTTTTGACAATCATCTTGTTGCATGAAGTCTAGGCTACTTACAATCTTTTTCTTGTTGCAGAATTTCGATGATGTGTTAGTTCCTGAAGACCATGTAAGTAGGAGCTATAATGATACGTATTACGTAGACCCTCAGACTGTTTTAAGGTGCCACACAAGTGCTCATCAGGCAGAATTATTGAGAAGTGGATATACTAATTTCCTTGTTACAGGAGATGTTTACCGTAGGGATTCAATTGATTCAACTCATTATCCTGTCTTCCATCAAGTATGTCTCTGAATGCTGTAACTGGTTTAATCTAATAAAAATTTAATTTATATAATTTCCTCCTTTTTATCATGCAGATGGAAGGCTTACGGGTTTTATCTCCAGAAGATTGGGAGACATCTGGAATGGATGCCACATTATTTGCAGCAACAGACTTAAAGAAATGTCTTGAGGGTCTAGCAAGTCATTTATTTGGTATTTTGGAATGGCCAATAGACCTACTTAGTTACTGCATTTTGATTATTATGAGGCTTAAGATAAATTGTTGAAGCAAAGAAAGTAATCAATTTAAATCTGCTAGATACTTCATCTTCATTGCATACATCAATTCATGCATTTTCCATTGTTCACTACAAGATAGAAACACTCTTTAAATATTATTTAGTGTAGAATTTTTCTTTATTACTTTTGACTTAGGTGTGATGAATTCAAGTTGTGGAAACATCCTCTTTGAAAAGCTTGTATGCATTTGACCTCTATATATCTGACAATGATAGGAGCCTTGATTTGCTGAGCTACCCTTTATGTTTCAACTTGTCGCAAAATTATAAAAGAAAATTGTGTACGATAATATTAACAAAATACATGTGCATAATTTATATAGACTTCCTCAATGCAGTATTTGACACAAAGGACGGGAGAACAGGGATTTAATGGAAAACAGGGTTGCTGAAATGAAGAGTTTACTATTATATACTTAGAAGGATCAAATAAAGCTATTAGTTTAGGAGTAATTTATTCTAATTAGAGTAAGACTAAAATTTAATGAGACGTTTTACCCTCCCCTCCATCTCCCTCTAACCAAACATTTTGTAAACAATTTTAATTTTTTAAATGGCCTCCTTACATTAAAGAAATGTTTAGGCATGGTTGTCAAGCATGAGGTTTAGCTGTTTTTATTGATTTTGATGATTTGATAATTTATAAATAGGACTGGAGGATTATTTTTATGATGATATTCTCATTTTAATGCTAAAATGCTGAAGTTGTTTTTCAAGAAATTATGTACACAAGGTGCCTAGTTATTAGCTTGTGAATTCCTTTGAAGCCAAGTACAACTGCTTATAATAATTTTTCCCTTTTACTGTTTCAGGTGCTGTGGAAATGCGCTGGGTGGATACATATTTTCCATTTACTAATCCATCGTTTGAACTTGAAATATATTTTAAGGTATGCTATGCATTTTTGTCTCTTCAAATACTCTGTTTATATAATTCTTGTTACTAATCATTATGCCTAAAAGTTATGCTTTCAAAAGCACACTGGTGTTTGTTAGACCTGTGTGGTACACTTTACGTTATTTATTCCTATGCTTGTTGTATTTATTTTTCTTTGTTGAATATAGAGAAAATAGGGTTTGAGATTAATTTCTCTTGTGTATAAACCACACATAGGATAATCTATTTATAATAGAGAGAGGTACAACTAATAGAGTAACAAAAAGATAATTAGAGTAAATAAAAGATATTGTTTGATATTGTGATTAACAATATCTAATAATATTTTAACAATATCTAATACTCCCCCTCAAGCTGGAGCATACAAATCATGTATCAAGCTTGTTACAAATATAATCAATTCTAGGCCCCCTTAAAGACTTAGTAAAAATACATGCTAATTGATCTCGAGTTAACAAACTCAGTCTTGATGTCTCCATACATAATTTTTTCCCGAATGAAATGACAATCAATCTCAATGGGTTTGGTCTTTTCATGAAAGACAGGATTAGAGTTAATATGAAGAGCAACTTGATTGTCACACACAAGTGTTATTTGAGTGATATCTCTAGATTGTAACTCTCTAAGCAGTTGCTTGAGCCAAATAAGTTCATAGGTAGCTGAGGTCATAGCTCTATATTATGTTTTTGCACTGGATCTTGGCACAACACTCTGTTTCTTACTTTTCCACGAGATCAAGTTATCACCAATGGAAACACAATACAAATGTGGATCTTTTATCAGAAGGGGATCTTGCCCAATCAGCATCTGAGTAGCAAACAACTCTTGTATGGTTATTAGAACCATATAACAATCATTTTCCAGGAGATCCTTTAATATACTTCAAGATACGAATGACTGCATTCCAATGATCTTCACATGGGGAATTAAGAAATTGGCTTACCACACTAACTAAAAAGGAAATGTCAGGACAAATAACTGTAAGATAATTCAATTTTCCAACCAATTTTCTATACTGTTCAGGATCAGGTATAAGCTCCTCCTGATTTGGTAGAAGTTTAGGATCGGGATTCACGGGTGTGTCAACAGACTTTGAATTCATCAACCTAGTTTCTTCCAAAATATCCATGGCATATTTCCTCTTAGATATAACAATACCATCATTGGACTGTGTCACCTCAATACCCAAGAAATATCTGAGTTTGCCAAGATCTTTGGTCTAAAAATGGTGACAAAGATGTTGTTTCAACTGAGAGATGTTATGGTTGTCACTACCTGGAAGAACGATATCATCAACATATACTATCAAGTAAACACATCTAACACTCGAGTGTCGATAAAATACAAAATGATCTGCTTCACACCAAGTCATACCAAATTGTTGAACAACATTGCTAAACTTTCCAAACCAGGCCCTAGGAGATTGTTTTAGATCATATAGGGATTTGCGAACAGGACATAACATCCCAGAAGACTCCCCTTGAGCAACAAACCCAGGAGGTTGCTCCATATAGATTTCTTCTTGCAAATCACCATTGAAGAAAATATTTTTAACATCCAATTGATAAAGAGACCATTGTCGAAGAACAACCATGGCGATAAATAAACGAACAAAATCCATCTTTGCCATGGGGAAAAGATATTTTCATAATCTAACCAAAAAATTTGAGTATAATCTTTGACTACAAGACGGGCTTTTAGGCAATCAATAGTACCATTAGGTCCAACTTTGATAGTAAACACCCACCTGCAACCAACAACAAATTTCTCAGACGGTAACGAGACCAATTCCCAAGTTCCACTATTATGAAGAACACTTAGTTCATTAGTCATGGCCTGACGCCAACCAGGATGGGCTAAAGCTCCACAGACAGTTTTTGGAATAGTCACAGAAGAAATAGAGGAAAAACATGTATAAAAAAGTAATGATAGTCGATGATAACTCAAAGTAATATAATGGGGAGAGGATTACGTGTAGAACGGATATCTTTTTGGAGGGCAATGGGAAGGTCAGACTCAAGTGTCAGAGCTGGAGGTGACAGGGTAGCTAGCACTTGAGTGGAGTCACATGGTGGTGGTTGTGATCGGTTTCGGCAACTATAAACCTGAAGGGGCGGTGGAGAAGAAGTTGACTGCGAAGTAAGAACTAATGGTGAAGAAGACACAGTTAGAGAGTCACAAATAACAAGAACATTAAATGTACTAGGAGTGTTGACAGGATTGGATGGAGATAGAGGTGAATATTGACTTTTAAAATAAAGGGAGAACTCATCAAACGTGACATCTGCAGACATAAAATAATGGTTAAGAGAAGGAGAAAAACATTTGTATCCTTTTTATGATCTTGTAAACCCTAAGAAAACACACTTATGTGATCTAGGAGAAAGTTTGTCAAGACTAGGACTGCAATTATGAACAAAACATGTAGACCCGAAAACTCTTAAAGGTAAGGGATGAAGATGTTTATGAGGGAATAAAATGGAATGATGTATTTTATTATCTAAAGTCGAAGAAGGCATGCGATTAACGAGATAACATGCAGTAAGAAGAGCATCACCCTAAAAATGTTGAGGAACCTCTCCATGAATTAAAAGAGTGCGAGGTGTATAAGCACAAGAAGTATGATGCAGAATACCGTGAGAAGCCATGAATTGTTTAAAAGAATGAGAAAGATATTCACGACCATTATCACTGCGCAAAACTCTAATAGAAACACCAAACTGAATTTGAATTTCATTAAAAAAAGATTAAAAGATATGAAATAATTCAGAACGATTTTTCATCAAAAATAACCAAGTGCATCTGGAATAATCATCAATGAAAGTAACAAAGTATTGAAAATCTAAAGTAAACTTAATGCCGCTAGGTCCCCAAATGTCAGAGTGAACCACGACAAAAGGGAACGAAGTGCCACGTGTGACATTACGAGGAAAGGAAGTACGACTATACTTGCCTAATTGACATGACTCACATACCAAATTAGACAACTTGGACAAGGCAGGGACAAACTGTTGTAACTTGACAAGGCTTGGATGACCTAATTGAGCATGAAGAAGAGAGGGAGACTCCATAACTACACCAACATGTGTAGAGGGACGGAGATGATAAAGACCATGAGACTCATATCCTGTGTCAATCCCATGTTTCGAACTCCAATCCTGTAAACACACAGAATTGTTGGTAAAATAAATACAATAAAGAGAACGAGTTAGACGACTGATGGACAACAGGTTAAAAGGAGACCCAGAGACATAACGAATATGATCAATGGTTAAAGAAGGGAAAAGTTTAATAGTTCCAACACCATGAGATGATACTCTAAAATCATCATCCAGTATAACAAAAGTTAAAGGATTAGGAGATGATAAAGAGGAGAACAAATATTTGTTACCAGTAATATGATCAGTGGCTCCTGAATCAAAAACCCAAGGATCAGGAGAAGAAGATTGGGTCAGACGAGCAAAAGATGTACCTGTGTGTGCGATAGACGCAGTGGAACTCGAAGATTGTTATCCTTATACCATTTGAGAAATTTGTTAAACATAATAGGTATGTTGAATGAAACAGAAGGAGCGAAAGAAGTCATGAAGGGAGGTAAAACAAACCCTAAAAAATTCAAAGTTGTTTAATCAACCCACGAAGCACAAATCCAAAAACAAGAAGACCAAAACACGTATGTCGAGACTAAACGGTGCTGGAGACAACAGACGACCAACTCCGAAAGTGGTGATCTCAACTGTACGGTGGTCGCCTGACCGAGACAAGCAAAACCGTATGTCGCTGGTCAAAAAGGAAACTTCGGCAACGGCGACGACAGTGGTTCAGGCGGTAGCTTTGGCGACAACTTCAGTAGTGGCGGCGGCTCCGGCAATAGCGGTGGTGGTGGCAGTGGACAAGGGAAACAAAAGATTTTCAAAATATCCTTAAGCTCTAGATACCATGTTGAATATAGAGAAAATAGGATTTGAGATTAATCTCCCTTGTGTATAAACCACACATAAAGTAATCTATTTATAGTAGAGAGAAGTACGACTAAAAGAGTAACAAAAAGATAATTAGAGTAAATAGAAGATATTATTTGATATTGTGATTAACCATATCTTAACAATATCTAACAATCTTTGCCCTTTCTTTTTTCCATTCAGTTGATTCTAATTTCTCTTCGTCCATGTCTTTTTTTCCACTCAATTTTTCTGATTCTAGTTTTATAATAACATCAAGTAATGTTTAATATATCTTTTATTGCAGGAAAAGTGGTTGGAAGTTTTGGGGTGCGGAGTGACAGAGCAAGAGATTCTGAAAAGAAATGGGAAACCTAATAATGTTGCTTGGGCTTTTGGCCTAGGGTTGGAGAGGTTAGCTATGGTTCTATTTGACATACCAGATATTCGTCTCTTTTGGTCAAATGATGAGCGATTTACCTCCCAGGTATTTCACGGTTATGTTCAACAAACATCCTTCAATGTTGTTTATTATTTTTCCTGGTTACTATATGTGATGTGACCACATGAATTTATGATTTAGTCATCTTGACAATCATAATGTTAATTGTTTAATTCCTTTTTGTAATCTCTTCTCTATAGTATTGCACATGCTTGCTTTTTGATTATTTTATATTCAGTTTTCCAGGGGTCAGTTGGGAGCCAAATTTAAGCCATTTTCAAAGGTAACATCTATATGTCTAAATCTGTGCCTATCCTTGGGTGTCTACATTTGATATCATTTTTTTTTCTAAGTATGTTCATTTATAGGAATATCTCTTATTCTTATTCCTTTAAGTATTTCTGCAACTGAAACTTGAAAGCTAGATAAGAAATATTCATTGATAGTTATGATGGCCCACATAATTTATGTATAACTTTGTTAATATTACTCATGTCATTGTTTGATGAGAAAATATGGTTTTGTTGGTCTAAATTGCCAAATGCCATTAGCCTTAGACCTACATTTTTTCATGTCTCTGATGCTTTACTATGTTAAATGCCTAGTCATGATCAAATTTAGATACTGTTAGTTATTTTAAACTTACTAGACTCGTCTTCTATGTAAATTTCAGACAAGAAGGCATTCAACTTAGTAATCTTGTCAGTAATGTTCTCAGCATGACTGACTGTCTTGTTTTTTATGTTGAGTCTTAACTAATGAGGAATTTATATTTTCATTCTAATGGACACATTGCTAAATCTTATGAGAACATTCTAAATTTTTCATGTTTGCCTTTTAAGTATCCTCCTTGTTACAAGGACATGAGTTTCTGGATCAGTGAATCATTTACCGAGAACAATCTGTGTGAAGTGGTCAGAGGAATAGCTGGGGATCTTGTAGAGGAGGTACATCTTTGAATAATTTGGCCAGAACTTTTTTTTGACTTTTAAAACATTTGTTTGGATTTGCAATTAGCTGCTTTCTTCATCTTCAATGGCAACAAAGTGCGTATGAGATTAGTTGATCTAGTGTTATTGGCCTGTTTTGACAAAATTTTTGGACGGATAGATTAGCATAAACTTAATGTTATAACTTTTTGTTTATCTTTATAAATACTATATAATTCTCTTAATTTAACAATAAAATGTCTCCCTGCCCCTGCCCTGCAACACTAGTAAATCTCACTCCCAAAAATATTCTGAAGGACTCGGTGAATATATCCATGAGTTTGTTGATTCAACAGTGCCAATAGCAATGCATCCAGAACAGATTGTAACGGAAAACTTCATTATGTTTGGTCTTCACAAAAATAGCATTAGAGACACTATGCACTGCTGCTTGATAACTAGCTCCATTTTTAAGGTCATAGCTCAATATTAAGTTTGGAATGGCATTTGTTTGCTTAGAACATCTATTTAAAGTAAACTTTTCCAGTATAACCTATCACCTGTGTATTGCCTTTGGCTTCATACAATAATCCCTCACTGGGTCCTCAGATGGACCCGATGGAACCAGCACACACATTCCAATGTTACCTGGACACATATTTCAATATTCATGGCAGCCCAGTATTGTTTGAGGTTTTCTATAATATTACTTCCAGGATTAAAATCTTGAGCAAAAAAGGGGGAGGCTTTAGTTTTCTTTTCCTTTAGTTGGCTTTTCAACTGTTTACCCTCATACTCTCATTTCTCCTCTTTTTCTTTGATTTATCACTTAGTTTTTTAACAGGGTTATAATATCCTTTTCCTCTGTTCTGCACTAAGTTTTGCCCTTTTTACTGTTTCTGTTTTACTTCTCGAAATTGCAGGTGCAATTAATAGACAATTTTACCAACAAGAAAGGAATGACCAGTCACTGCTATAGGATTGCATATAGGTCTATGGAACGTTCTCTTACTGACGAGGAAATTAACGATCTGCAGGTATTAAATGTAATTAAATACTTGTAAATACTAGCGCAATCATAACTAGTCTTGCTTTGTCATAATTTCTTTTAAAAGCTACCAACATATTTTTCCCCGTTAATGCAGTGGAAAGTAAGAGAACAGGTGGAGAACAAATTGAATGTTGTCTTGAGATGAGCTTCAAATGCTGAAAGAGCTTTGCTGTGTTTGATCTCAATTTTTGTTAATGTATAGATGTTTTAAGTCCTTTGTAAGCAACCGAATAGCACCGAGACAGATGTATTATTTAATTTTTTCCCAGCGAATATACACTAGGTTACGAGCTATGGCTCACCCAACAGGAATCTGAATTCTCTTTTTTCCTGATAAAATGGTATGATCCCCGACAATAAAATCTGTGTTTGTATGTTTCATAACAGAGCATTGATATGATCTTACGGGCAAAATGAAAGAATCCTCATTGCCCAACAGCGGGCTTGTGGAGGATTGTTTATACATTACCATTTAAGGATCCATTGTTGTCTAAATGTATGGGAGTAATATTTGGATTTATGCTATTCAAGATAGACCAAAGAATGCATATAATGATGGTTGCCAACTGTTAAGTATGTGCTCAAGGCTTGCGTTGTTTCAGAGATGTCAATCTGCCTTTTACGGAAGCTAAGGAAATTCGTGCTCATATGATGTGGCATGGCAATGAAGCAACTCTGCCGAATGTATATGCCCAGAGTGGCAGTGTATCACAGGCAAATTCCGTGTTTGGTGCAATGCTGGCCAAGAACTGTCTCTCCAGGAGTGCTTCGATTGCATGTTAGACAAATTGCAATGAATGAAATGCCTATGAAAAGCACTGGAACTTTTTCAACCAATGATGTTTGAGGCATGTGATTCAGTTCCAAATTCAGTAGCTATGATTAGTGTGCTTCAAGCTTCTGGAGGTCTTGCTGCATTGGAACATGGAAAGTTGATTTGTGGCTATATCCTTAGAAGGGGTCTTGATTCTACACTGTCATTTCTTAGCACCCTTAAACAACATATGGAAGATGTGGTGAGATTTGGATGGAATAGAAGCGTTTTAAACTAGTATTTCACTGATATGAAGAAGCCCAATAATAAATTAGGGACCTATCAGATTCTATCCCGCGCTCTTCGATTCAAATTGTCTAACACAGATTTATTTACATAGAATCCTATTATAAATATTTAAATAATTCCTAGGCAGCAAACAATCTCCCTAAAGTAGATTGTCCACCAAGTCATTTCATCCTGCCGTAATTACTCAACTAACATGGATTTGAATCCACAACTAAGAAAAATTGAGAGTTGACATTAGAACTTATTGACACCACTTTGACAATACTGCATGACGACAACACTTCTTGTTATATAAATAGTCAAATAGGAACCCATGGATACTTTTTGGTGCAATTAACTCATTTTTTGTTGCCCAACTTCAAAAATAAAATAATGTGAAACGTATTTATTTTCAATTTTGTTGAATCTACTTTTTTTCTTTTGATTCCTCCTATAACAAATATGTCTAGTGTTTGCCTTCAATGAGTATGCAACCGGTCTCAAATTTTGATAGAAAACGAGGTTTTCAGCAAATGATAACCAATGTTAAAATTTATTAAATCTCTAGCATAGGTGTTTTTACTCCCAATGACTCCATATTCTCTGCACCGGAATACGCTTAGAGATGATTACATTACCTTTTTAAATGATTTCTTAAAACGCTAATTATTGCCTATAAAATTTCATTCTCCGATTTTTGCACTTGCCTAAAAATTCAAAGACACTTTTTAATCTCTCCCGACTTATAAATAGCAAAAAAAAAAAAAAAAAAAGGCATGTGATACTCCATCGACTCTTTAAGGAAAGATGAAAAAAGAAGTTTTACTAAAAATACCCATAAGAATATGAATGTAATGTAAACAATCCAGTGCTAGAAACTGATGAAAACAAATTAAACAGATTCCTTTCCAAGCAATATGTGCAAAAGCAGCCCAATTGAACACGGAAACCGACCCTCATATAAGCTCACTTTGTCTATGGCATTGCCCATTCCATGATAGAAAGCGTTATATTCATTAAGGCATAAAATACTCGAAGCATTTAAAAGAAATTTAAGATAACTAATATACAGTATGGATGTTACGTAGAATATGACCCTCTTCTATCTTCAGGTTGAGATGATTAACAAATTAAAATGAACAGATCTACTGAGTACAGAAGCAATACAATCATGCTTCTCCTAACTCATACAGCAACGGGTGTTTCTCCCTCTTTCCCACTGCCTTTATCGCCATCACTACCTTCAGATGCATTCTGCAAAAACTTGTGCTCTGAGGGCAAATTTTTCTTAGCTTTCCGGCTTCCTTCAATTTTCCATATATCCCATACCCGAGTTTTTGGTGGTGGTGATGCATCTCCAATTGGTGCAACTAATCCTGGTTTACCATCGTCAATAACACCATCAACTAAACCATACTCCTTAGCTTCCCATGGATTCATAAAATTATCACGATCCGTGTCCAGATCAATCTGCGTAAAATAAATCAAAAGGAGTAAAAAATAAGCATTATATTGGACACCAAACTAAAGTGATATATTGAGACAAAGAGGATGCATCTGATATCTAACCTGTTCTTCAGGCTTCCCTGTAATTCTTGATAGTATCTTGTTGATCTTAATCTTGTGATATGCCATTTCTCTTATACGAATGCTCATTTCAGTAGCCTGCAATTATGTTTTATTGTTTAGCAATAAAGTTTTGGCTCAAAGCCATTAAGAAAAGAATTTATTATGCATATTGTATGTACATAGCAATCACACCAGACATTATGAATTCCTAATAGATGACCAAAACAACTCCAGGGAAAATATTTCTATTATTATCATAATAGTTATCAAAACACACTTTTTCCAATCAAAATACTTAAAACTTTGGTTTCTGCAAAATTATTTTTGGAATATAAACTAGCACAAAGAAAGGCATGTCAATAATAAAGTTGAGCTTTCCATGGCTACCAAGGTGGAATCACTTTTAAAACATTGTTTGCTGCCGTTGAGCTTGAACGTGGACCAGCATGACCCAAAATGTGTCACTGAAATCAGAGATTCAGTCCACCACACAGCCACCTTATGCTTTCACATCTAATGCACCAACTAAAAGAAACAGCTTGCTAAAGCATCGAATGTCTAGTAAACAAAAGAAAATGATGAGTATGCTGTTTTATTTATGCTTAAAAGAATTTGGAACAATGTACAGATCACAAAGTTTCATGTCTAGATGGGATGTTTATGGTAACGGCTTCAGTATTAGCAAAGCTGTCAAAGTGAGGCCAGTGTTTTGAATAAAAAGGCCCATTTACAAGAATTGTGTATCGTTTGTTGTACCACATTGTATGATATGGAACCAATATGTTAATGATGTTAGAAAACATATTAATTAACCCCAAGGATGCATTTTCCTTGATCCCCTTAGGGTGGTCACCCCTAGGTTGGGGCATAGTATCACTAAAAAAACGTAAACTGCTAGGGATATAGGAATTGACAAGTAGAAATTGACATATGCAAAACAAGGTGGAAAGACTCCCATTAAAACTATTAAAAAAAAATTCATGCTGTGATATACTAAAAAGATAAACAATGCAAATCATGACTCCTTGAAATCAATGCAACTAGTTTATAATTCAACTGATAGCTTGGCGGATAACAAAAACACAACCGTTCATGACCCACATCAGAAAAACAGAAACCAGTTGTTAGTTCAGAATGACAAACGACTTAATATAAAGCATGATTGGTCATTGAAGAATTTTTGTTATAAGCCACAAGTCTCATTAGTTGAGAGAGTATGCAAAAAAAAAAAAAATTGTTATCAGCATAAATACAAATCAAACACTGTCAGCTATTAAGTTTAGTAGTTATAATTAAGCAACATATTTTCTGGAGTATATTAGTTTTCAAAACATATAGGTTCTTTTACCCATATCAAGTTGGAAATGAGTTAACATAGATAACTGTAGTTAAAGGTAATTGTATTCCTTCCACACCCTACACTTCTCTAACATGTTTGAAATCTAAAATAACTTTACTTTTAACCTGATCATTTTAAGGACAATGAAAATAATAACGAAAAACTTCAGACCTACTCCGTATTGACGATCATAAAAGCTAAATGATATAAGAGGGAAATCTTACTTTTCCACCAGCAGTTCCAAGTGGCTGATGGATCATAACTCTTGAATTCGGCATACAATACCTCTTCCCTTTTGTACCAGAAGCAAGGATAAATGCACCCATGGATGCAGCAAGCCCAAAGCAAACAGTTGACACATCTGCCTTGCATAACTTCATGGCATCATAAATTCCCATCCCTATATGAAATGATAAACAAAGAGCAATTAGCATAAGATATACATATTTCAGATTCATTAAACTTAAGCAATGCACAAACTTTACTAACAGAAGGTTCCTTTCCTATCATCACAGATTCAATACCTTCAATCTTTTATCTTCAATAACGAGGTTCAAATTTTCATAGATACTAATTAGCTTGTGAATCAGCGGGATCAATTTCTTGTTTCATCAGTAGAATACAGCAGGGTACAACAAAGTCCAACAATTTAGTAGTTTCTAAATTATATTATCGCTGTAGATATATACGAATGCTGCAGCCAATACTCTCTAGCTAAATATCTGTTTATGTTACCACAAGCAGCAAAACACTAAACTGAGCTATTTAAACATGAAAGCTGGTTTCTGGGATTATGAAAGTTAACATCCAATTACAAAATTGAGATTACGAGTCAAGTCCATCTGATAGTCTGGTGGATAAAAATAAAGGCGTAAAAACAGTGATAAAAAGTTTGTCCAGGTACCAGCAGTAACAGAACCACCAGGTGAATTTATAAATAACTTGATGTCTTTCTTTGAGTCTTCAGCATCCAAAAACAAAAGCTGACTAATGATAAAATCTGCAGTCATATCATCCACCTGATCAACCAAAGCAATTCACAAACACGCCATCAGATACTGTCTCACTCTCTTCAGTTAGTCCTATTTTGTTTTATTTTTATTTTGTTATATCGGGCATCCCACAGTTCAGGATAAACCACATTAACAAGTCAATTTTTTTTTTTACTCAAAATCAACGCAGTTCAGCAATTTCACACGATCATGTCAGTTTTCCCGTTTGCTCATTCTTATGTTATTGTGAGCGTCCTTTAGAATGAACCCACATGATCAAGTTTCCAAATTTCCCTTAAAAACATAATCAGAGAGACAAGGGTATTCATAAAATAAGAAAACATAGAGAGAACCTGAGAACCCAAAAAGATAATTCTTTGACGGAGAAGCATGTTGGTGATGTCCAGCTCTTCGAATCTGGGAAGCCAGGGGGAAGTGGTAGATGCAGAAAAATCGTGTGTAGAAACGAGCCAGTTGGAGGACAAGGTTGGTTTGGAAGAGTTAACGATGAACAAAGGTTTGGTTCTTCTGGTTTTGGTTGAAGGTGTGAGAGTAGGAAATTGGGAGTGGAAAAGGGCATGCTTATGCTTCAACTTGGAGCTTAAGGGTATAAATGATGTTGAGGATAAACTCACCTCCATCTTCTTCTCTTCTTTTCTCTTCTCTTCTCTTCACTCTCTTTCTGCCCCTTTTTTTGTTTTCTTTTCGGTGGATGTGGTGATAACCCCTTTGTTTCATGCTCATTAAATTGGGCTTATATTTGGGCTACAGTGTTCTTCTTCCGGCCCAACTATTCCAGTCTCTTTATTATAAAATACATTTACATCATAAAAATAATTTTAATTAAAAAACGTGGTATATCATCTAAATTTTCCGTTATTTTAATATTATATCTAATGATTATTATATTATAATATATTTTAAAATATAATTATTATTTCATAAAACATACTAATCAATTAACTATAAATCAGATATAAATCTATTTAAATTATTAACTAAATGAATTAGAAAAAGCATAATCTTATTTAATTTATATCATAACATTATTATATCACTTGGTTTAATTTAGATTATAATATTATTATTGAATTTAATTTATTTAGAAGATTTTAAACATGATTTATCTAATTAATCTCATTTTTATTGTTCTATTAAACTTTCTTATATAAGTTAAATTCCTAAAGATAAAGAAAAAAAAGTAGTCTATACAAAATTGACGCAGATAAGACCAGTTAAATTCTTTAATTTAATTAAATAAATTAATTTTATGCGTAGTGACTAAATAGATTATGGCACTGATAAAAGAAAAGTTTTAAGGTAATGCAAAGGAAAAGGTGGTTGACAGTGTGCAGAGAATCCAAACCAACACGAGAGAGAAGTTGTGTTACATTTCTTATCTGTGCGTTGTGATTTGTCGATGGCTCTTTCGTTTTCTCCCTACCCTCTTCTACTCTGCAATCTCATCGCATAGCTTCATCAAAGCCCAACAACGGATACATATTCACCTACCCATCTATTCGGTGTTGCTCAAGTTTGAACCAAGAGAGCAGCATCAACCTCAGAACTTGCAAGAACTGCAAAACCCAATTCGACCCTTCTCTCAATCACCCTCTTGCTTGTCGATTTCACACTGCCCATTTTGGAGGTATTCCACTTCGTCTCTCACTTCATGCTTATTTGCCTCTCTAAGTTTAGGTTTTACTTTTGAAATTTATGATTTGAAAAGAAAAAGAATTGTATAGAAATGCCCCCAGATTAATGTGGCCGAACATGTGCCGTGTTAAGCTGGAGCAGTTACCTGAACATAGCTAAGTGATTGTATTAGCTAAGTGATTGAAGTATTTCAATCCTGTGTCTATTTAAGCTTTTGAAATGTACTTGATTGTGGCCAGATTGTTAGAATGTTCTATCAATTTTTTATTTGTTATGGCTCCAAACTTCAGAGGTAACTAATACTGGACAGGTGATAAGATCTGACTTTTGTCATTCTTCTAAAAAACTTTCAAAGGAATGTGATGATGATTCTAATGCATGTTACCGCATAATACCTTGCGCTGCCTTGGAATGTCCTCTCTAATTTTTTGCTACATGAATTATGAATGTTTGGGTGCACATAAAAATAGTTTTGTTCATCCAAGATTTATTGGTTCATTGAGAAGCTCTCATTTGATATGAAATAAGAATGCTTCCAATGATCATAAATCATTTAATTAAACTCCTGGCAAAAATCTCGCATCATTGCTAGAGTAATTGATCTCAATTAATGAGATAAGCTGGCTTATTTGACTAAGTCTATTGACCATAAGAATTTTTTTTTTCTCTTCTGAAATTCTCTCTTCATGGAGGTTTGGCTGAGAAAAGTATGGCTAAGTTATAAATTTTATCTTTAATTCTTACTTCAAAAGTCCAATATGAAGGACTTGTACGCAGCTATAAACACCGATATCAAGGACTTGCTATATCTGACATTGTATTGTGAAAACCGAATTCCTTTCAATGGCTAAAGATCTGAGATAGTGATATACGAGAGACTAGAGAGGTATAGAAGGGCTTTCACTAAGTGCATTGGTTATCATGATTCATGAGACATTACAGCTAAAGCTATGTTCTAACTTTTTGTTAAACCTATCCCAATGATTTTCCTAGTTCACTTTTTTCTTTGATCCTTAACTACTTTCTTTTCCTTGGGATTTGAAAGCTACGTCTCTGTTCCAGTAGAAACTTAGTGGAAACATCTTTCATCCTCAGATTGGACTAGGAGTATTAATATAAAATTTAAGATGACTCAACTAATTTGTTCGCAGTTGGGACATGTAGCATATGTCTATAAAACCCATTCATTTCCTTCATTTGAAAGGGGATGATTTCCTATTTGTTTTAGAAATGGAATGTAGATATGTGGCCTATCTTACTCATTAGGTCCTGCTCACAAAGCATGTCATTATTCGGAATGTTACTTGTGTTCTGTGTAAATGCAGTCTGTGATCTGCCCTAAATGAAATTAACTAACAATTATATATATATATATATATATATATATATATATATATATATAGATATATAGAGAGAGAGAGAGAGAGAGAGAGAGAGAAACGATCCACTTATTACAATATTAAAAGTTAGAGATTTATTCTTCATATCATCATCACTTTTTAAACTATTAGATTACAAAGAATTGAATAGTGAGAATGAAGAATAAGTCTCTAAACCCTTACTCTTGAAGTAAGTGGATCCCTCATATATATATAATTTAAGTAAGAATCTTATTATCTTATCTAGTGCATATGCTGTATGGCATCATATTAGTATGTTCTGCTGACAAAGCTCAAAGAGCAATTCATCATTTTCAAGATGAAGCACTCGTGATTTTAGAACTCTTGCCTTACTGATCCTATATTTCACTCTTAAAATAGTGTTTTCTGAAGCCAAAAGTTCTAGCCAAAACATGGATTCTTTTGCCGGTACAGAGACATGATGTGAGTCTAAAGTCTAAACAAAGGAAACTAAACTATTAACAAAGCTGAGATTAAAGAAGGATCTCTTATGAAGAGGTTGACACCACAGGTTTATGCAGTTAGAAGGCTCATTTCTCTTACAAGTATTTTAGGGAAAGGTTTAGCTAGCGAGTTTAAAGTGGAAGCAAATCTTGTGTAATCCTTATTGGGGCAAAATGTTAACATTAGGAATTTCATCTGACCATTACATTGATGAAAAATTGTGCATTCCAAATTTCAATATTATGTTACTTATTTGCATTACTATTCGGATTTAAGTTTGCTTTCATTCCCATCTTCCTCTACCACAGGAGAAACTAAGAGAAAGTTTGAGAGTGTGTATGAAGGGGGTACCATGAATACTCCTGACTCTGGTAAAGTTTTTCAGTATTGGCATTGCTGTGGTTGTGAAGATCCATTTGATCCTGGTTGCACGTCTTCTCCTCATACCTCATACGATGATTAATGTAGATTCCATTCATTTTAATCCATGAATCAAATTCACTTTCTTCCATTTAGTTTTCTTGTAGCCATATTTATAAAAAGTTTCTAATCTCTAGTATAAATTTTAGATTCCTTGAATAATTTCTGAAAATTAATGTTGCTCAGATGTAAAAAAAGGCTGTGACTACACATCTAATCTGTTATCCAGGAGAAGGACATCATTTTTCTTGTAATGCTGTTCCTCTGTAGGAAGACTTTCAATTGATCATATTAGAGTCCTTTCAACTGTGTTTATTGAATGTTCAGAATATTACATCTTTTATCTTTTATTTTTTATTTAAATTAAGTATTAAGAGATTTTTAAAACAAGAAAAAAAGATATTGGGTTATTATTTTAATTTATATAATTATGATTGAAATATTATTAATATTTTATTATATTTTTACATATAGATAAATTATATATATATATATATATATATATATATATATATATATATATTCTCACGTATAACTTACAATCTAAGAATATGTAAAATTATTATATATTCATTTTTGTATAATATATTAACCAATATTAAAAAAAAATTAACGTAATATTCATAACTTGATACTATTGAATTGGTAAAGGTGAGCAAGGGTGAAGGTGTAAAAATCAATTTATGAATAAGTTAAAGTTATATTCATTTATCTAAAAATATAATTTTAATTCGTGTATAAGTCAATTTTAGGTTAAGAAAATACTTATCATTTTTTTCCTAAAAATATTTATAAATTTAACAAAATAAAATCTGTTATGCAGGATAATAACTGACAATATAATTGCGCAGTATTACAACAAAGATTGAATAGCATGCGCGCTTCTGAAACTTTACCAGAATATTTGCTCAAAATTTATCATTTTTGTTTGGTTGGTTAATGTTTCCAGTAATCGTAAAAGAAATTAATGATTCCTGTATAACACGGGTCCAGTAAGCAGAATTTAGTAATTCAACCACAATTATTCATGATTACCGAACTGTTCTTCCTGAGAATTTATTACTCTCTTTTGACTTAAGAGTGCACCATTGCTAAACAACCAATGTGTACTATATATATAATATTCCAATCAACACCGTTGATTTGATTTGGATAGAATAACGTATTAAGGACTTAGGCTTAAGGGATGATTATAAAGGAGACTAATTCTAACACAGTAGACTTACCTAGTTCACATATTATATTTATATATATTCACTTAAAATTAGATAATTTATTATACTTTATTTAATATTTTTTATTTCTTTTTTATTATTACAGTTTTTATCTTATCAACACTTTTTTTTCAGTTTCTTCTTTTCAAATGTTTTCCCATAAAATTATCTAATTTTTTTTTAAAACATTATACTTCAAAATAATTTAATTTATTATGTTCAAATATCATGTTTAATAAATTTTTTGATTGCTGACCAAGAAAAGTAAACAAGAGTAAAATCATATTAAAGTGATGAAAAAAAAAACATTATTCTTACTGTAAAATGGCTATTAAAGGTGAATAATTAATGATGTAGATGTAGAATATGTTTATAGTCAAATTAGAACGCATGATGAGCCTAAATTACTGTTTTAAGTTGGCGGCGAATCAAAATCCTTCCAATCACATCATCCGTATGCGTGCGAGATCCACAAACACAAAATAGTGTATGAAAAAATCTTTTTTAAAATAAAGAATATAATCAAATTTTATATTAATTAAAAATATGATAAAATTAAATAATTAAAATCTTTTATCCGATAACCCGCAACACTAGGGCACACAAAAGTTCATGGAACAACATCCCTCCAACATGCATATTTTTTATGATAAATATTATAAATTTAAAATAATTTAAATATAAATTACATATTTTATTGAGATCTAATGCTGATATTAGTTTTCTTCATTTTCCTTTCTAAGCATAAGACAACGTCAATGTTAACGAACAACTGTGATGTTTTTCTACAGAGAAATTGTTTCCCCTCCGTGTACGCCTTTACTATCTTGGGTTAATTAGTAATAATTACTTTACTTTTTCAATTTTCTTTTTCTAAATTTACCCGCTTATATTACCTCCCTGTGATTGTTATAAACTGAGAGAGAAGCAGTGATGATGGTTATTGGAACAATATCACACTGTATCACGAACTTTTGGGCGCTGCATAGTTTTCAAAATACACTTTGCTGTTTATTCTTTCTCCCTTTCTCTCTCTATATATGAACGCGTACGCAGCACCGTTCACAGTTGGGAGAAAACATGGAAAATATGTTAATCGTTGGCTTCATTTACACACAGTTCCATTGCACATCTCTTATAAATATCACCCTTTCTTCTTCATTTCACTCCACTCATTGCTGCTATATATATAGCCTCCCAAAACAACATAAAGAAACCAGTTACGAAATTTTATTGAATTCTTGGGTTGATTAATCTTCCTAAGAAGAATGAATGCTTCTTCATGTCTTTCATCTTGCAAGCCTACCATTCCTAAGGGCCTTGAGAGCAGAAGAAAGGGTCATAAGATGACAGTTGTGAGAGCAAGTAATGGAAGAGATGGAGAGGGTAAAGTGGTGGATGAGAGCATGATAGTGCTGAGACTGCGTATAAAGGAGATGAAGATGTTGGAGACGAATCGAGAGCCACCTGCTAACTGGATGGGGTGGGAGAAGCAGTGTTATGATCACTATGATGAAGATGTTTGTAATGCAATAGGGTTGCTGCAGAGTTATTTGATGAAGACTAGACCAAGTGTTGCATTAGGGATGGTAACACTATTGGCTTTCAGTGTTCCAATTTCTTCTGTAACCCTTTTGTTTTGTGCCCTAGGAATGGGGAAAACCATCTTATCTACTTTTGGCTTATGCTAAACACATAATCCTCAGTGATCCACTGATTTTACTAAGATCAATGTTCAAGTTTTACTCTAATTTTTTTCGGCTTTCATATCATTTCATTCTTAAGTACATGCTTTTGGGGTTGATTAGTATCTGTTTATTTTAAATTTTAGCAGATATTTCTTTAAATAATTACATGAGATGATGATCTCAAACTTATAAATATAAAAAGAAAACTACGTACCTTGAAATTCTAATTTTAAAATATGACATTTCAAATTTTAGATATATGTAATTATATCAAACATTTGCAGAGAAAAAAATTTATCGATTAATTATAGTAATTCTATAACAAGTTTAACATAAATCTCAATTTATTACTTCGGTCAATGAAATTGATTTTACCAAAAGGGACTCTAATGTAGATGTAAATAATATATAATTCAAAGTTAGATAAATGAAATGAAAAAAAAAATGTTAACTGAAACTCATATCTCTCGAATTTTAAAACAAACAATCATCTCTTAAATTTTAAATAAAATAAAAATTATATCTCTAATTTTTTTTTTTAATATTAACCTGCTGTCTGTTTTAAATAAAATATATTTTCCTTCTGCTTTTAATAAAGTGATACTTACTATCTTTTTTATTTTAAAATAACATATTGACTAAAATTTAAATAAAACTAAAAATTAAAAATTTAAGTTTTAGAATATGAAAATTATAAGAGTAAAAAGATTTAATCATTATATATAAATATCTAAAAAATATATTTTCGTCAATTATATAAAACATACAAATTATATTTTTGAGAAAATATAATAATGTAAAAAATAAATAGTCATAAAGTGTATGATTAAATCTGGTAACTTGTTATTATATTTAAATATAAATTTAATACAAGTAAAAATACGTTGAAAAGAAAATACAAGTATAAACTATAAATAAACTAAGAAATATGTATGTTATTTTATTAATAATTATAAGGGGAGAAAATGTCTATTTTAAAACTAGAAAAATTATGAATGTCATTTAAAAAATTTCAGGATGGGTGGAAGAAATTTTTACAAAATTAAATAATATAATTTTTATTTATAAAAAAAATAAAATTTTAATTTTATAAATTTTAATCAAAATTTAGCTAATATTATTGTTCTACGAAAAAAATAAGAAAAGCTACTGACACTTTCTTAGAAAAAAAAAGATAATTTTATTAAAAATATACTATAAGAAAATAATTAATTATTGATCGGATAATTACGGACGGATCTAAAATCATCGGTTATTGATAGATAATTACGGACGGATCTAAAATCATCGGTAAATAGTGATTACCGATAGACTACCGTAGAATATAAAGTACTTGTGAAATTTGGTCTTATCCACGGATATATCCGTCGGTAATTTAATAATTAACTACCGACAATATTTAACCTTGGAAATATTCATGGTTGGGATAAAAACTATTGTGGTTTAAATTATATTTCCATCGATAAATTAGTATGTCGATACAATTTTATTTATCTGTTGATAATTTGGTTCTAGTCAACAAAATATTGGAGAACAGGAAGACTCATTCACTACAAGAAAAAACACATTTAGCGACCAATTTAATTCGGTCGCAATTAGCGACCGATTTAATTCGGTCGCAATTACCAACCGATTTAGCGACCGAATTAATTCGGTCACAATTTAGCGACCGATTTAGCCACCGAAATATAATTTGGGCTTCACATTTTTTAGTTAGCGACCGAAATAGCGACCAATAGTTTGCGTCACAAAATTTCGGTCGCTAAATCGGTGGCTATTCCACACTAAAATAAAAAAATCATTTAACGATCGATTTAGCAACCGAATTACAAATTGAAATAGTGGCCAGAATTGAAATCGATCAGCTAATGAAGATTATTTTTTATTATATTTAAATTTATTTTTTTATAAATATACTTTAATTGTTTTAGTATATTTTTTACAATTTTTTTTTAAAAGTAATTTATTTTTTAAAAATAATTTAATTTTAAAATATACTTTAAAAATAAACTTTGGTCTCAATATTAACAAAATGAAGATTAACTTTAATTTTAAATTACTAAAATAAAAATATTATTAAAAATAAATCAAATTTATTAAAAATTTAAATTGTAATAAATTAAGACTAGAGTAATATTAATTATTCAATACATTGTTTAAGAAAAGTTTAATAATAAATATTCTTTAATTTATTTTTCAATTGAAAATTTCAATTGAAATTAAATTATATTTTAAAAATTTATATTAAAAAAATTAAACACATCAAATTATCACATTTTAATTCCTCATTAATTTAATTAATTAAAAAAAATTAATCAAATTATTACAATTTTATTTTATAAAACTTTATTTTTAATCTAATTTTCAAATTTATTCCTTTATTATTATTAATTACTTAACCATGGTTATTTTCATATAATTGATATACAAAAAAAATTATATCAATATACATTAGTTTAAGTATACTAATTAATATTTTTTCATTTTAAACATAATTAATAACAAAGATTAAAAATAGACTGCTAGAAAAGTTAAAAATTTAAAACTAATCTATTTTATAAATACTAAAAATAAACCATATTTAAATAAATTAAAAATATATTTAAATTTATATTCAACCTACCTCCAATTTTATTCAATAAATTCATAGATCACATTTGGAAACTTCATCACTTAAATAACTTCAAAATTATTAACTTTTTTTTTCAAAGCCAAGTTTTTCTTGTCAGTTTTTTCAAAAAAACAATTAATATAAGTTAAGGTTGTGCTTTTTAAAAATTTTAACTTTTTTATATATTGGATTTTCATTAAAAAATTTCTAAAATTACATAAGAAAATAGAGATTTAATTATACTTTTAATAAATTTAAGATAATACTAGTTTTTATTTTTATTTTTAAATATTTATTTTAATTTTTTAAAACAGAGAAACTATAATTTTAGTTTTTAAATACTAAATTTAAAGAATTAAATTTATTATTATTTAATCTTTTAATTTTAGTATTAAAAATTTAAATTATATTTTATTAAATTAAAATAATTACAATATATTTTTCTACTTTGAGAATTAAAAATATAATTAAACTAAAACTGAAATTATTATAATATATTTTTGAACTCTTTTGGATTTTTTTTCCTAATTTTTTATAAAGTCAATTTTAATATTTAAAAGTATTTTACATTTTGAATTCTGAAACGTTTTTTCTATTAGTAAATTTAAAAACATAATATTCAAAAAAATAGTTAATGTAAGTTAAGACTGTGCCTTTTTAACATTTCAACTTTTTTATATATTGGATTTTTATTAAAAAAAATAAAATGGGATAAGAAAATGGAGATTTAATTATACTTTTAATAAATTTTAGATAATACTAGTTTTTATTTTTATTTTAAATATTTATTTTACTTTTTTAAAACAAAGAAACTATAATTTTAGTTTCTAAATACTAAATTTAAAGAATTAAATTTATTTTATTTAATCTCTTAATTTTAGTATTAAAAATTTAAATAATATTTATTAAATTAAAATAATTACAATATATTTTTCTACTTTGAGAATTAAAAATATAATTAAACTAAAACTGAAAATATTATAATATATTTTTGAACTCTTTTTTATAATATTTTTATCATTATTATATTTTTGAATTAATTGTTTTTTTCCTAATTTTTTATAGAGTCAATTTTAATATTATATCATTCAAAATATTACAAAAACATAAGAAAAAAAAATACATTTCAAAAATATAATTTTACATCAAAATATTATTTCATCTTATATACATATAATTTTAAATAATTTTATTATCCTCCTAATTTATTATTAATTTCTTAAAAATATATTACAATATCAAATAAATAAATAAATTAAAAATTAACCATACAAATAATATAAATATAATATTTAATAATATATTTTAAAAATATTATTTTACTATGTTCAACCATAAATCTAAATATATTATTAATTTTAAAAAGATAAAAATATTTTTAAAATTTTAAATTTTCAATAAAATATTATAATATTATATATTTATATATATATATATATATATATATATATATATTTATATTTATATATACTAGTTTTTTCATTTCTATAATATAACATATAATAGCAGTTCCACGTGGAACCGCTATTATATGTTAACTTTTAAGTGCGGTTCAAGTGAAACCGTTATCATAGCTCACCACATATTTCATTATAATCAATTAAATTTTCAAATAATCGATTATATTTGAAAATATATAATAGCGGTTCCAAGTTAACCGCTATCTAAAATATATTTTAGATAGCGGTTAACGTGGAATCGCTATTATATGCTCACTTTTAAGAGCGGTTCCACTAGAACCGCTATCATATATAAATGTCCAACGCGAATCTTAGCTCATCACATATTTCATTATGATCGATTAAATTTTCAAATAATCGATCATATTTTCAAATAATTGATTATAATCGATTATTGTCAAATAATCGATTATATTCGATAATTTTTTCAAATAATAAATTATAATCGATTAGTTTTTTAAATAATTGATTATAATTGATTAATTTTTCAAATAATAGATTATAATTGATTAATTTCTCAAATATATATTAAAAAATTATAAATAAATATATATATTAAATTAAAATTAAAAAAGAATTATTTATCAATTATATATTATAAAAATTATAATTATATAATTAAAAAATCATATTTATAATTATAACTTTAAAAAAAATTATAACTATAAAATTAATGTTAAATAAATTATATATATTAAATCAATTATATATATTATATAAAATATATATATATATATATATATATATATATATATTACATAAATTAAAATTACATATATGTACTCTAAATTAATTTTATATATAAAATTTACATAAATAAAAATAAAAATTATCAACTTAAAAATAAATTATATTTTAATATATATATATATATATATATATTCTTTAAAGTATAAATTATTTTCATTTCTATAATATATAAAATATATATA